GGTCTTCACCACCCTATAGTCTGTGTCCATGGGCTATGCATATATGCACACGTTTGTTTGTTTTTTTTTGAAGGGTATCCATTTTTTTTTTCTGTACAAACTATAAGAACATAGCTTTATTCACATTTTTAAAAATCATCTTTAATTTGATTTGACCTACACACCCCCATCTCATTTCACCAGTTTCTTAAATCTCTCGTCACATCACCCACACCTTCACCAGACTATGGAATCTACAAGTAATTAGACCTAACACCTAAACAGAGCTTAGATCAGTGATGGCGAACCTTTTGAGCTCAGCGTGTCAGCATTTTGAAAAACCCTAACTTAACTCTGGTGCCGTGTCACATATAGAAATTTTTTGATATTTGCAACCATAGGAAAACAAAGATTTATATTTTTGATATTTATTTTATATATTTAAATGCCATTTAACAAAGAAAAATCAACCAAAAAAATGAGTTCGCCTGTCACCTCTGACACGCATGTCATAGGTTCACCATCACTGGCTTAGATAGTTCTCTCTCTCAAAGGTTTTCTCACTTCCCTGATAATTCCTCAAAAAAGAAAATAAATGCTCTTCACTCGTTCCTTCCATGTCACTTTCACATTTCATCAGCACATCAGCACAACAGACTTTTCGTTTCAATTCAAACAAGGCTAGAAAGAAAGAGTTCCTCGCTGAGCATCTTGATGCTACAACCATGAGTATGGGGACCCTGGGTACTGTTCTGCTCTATAAGAAGGTCATTTAGTGGAATAAAAGTCTACATAATTTGTGGTCAATTTCAGTCCATACTGTGTTGTATAATCAATAGAAGCTGGAAAGTGAACTCGATCATCAAAATAAGGATCTTCATAGCTATGAGGAGACTGCAAATACAATCTGTATGCATCAAAGTTCTTTCTGTGGGAGTCATCTTGACTATAATACAGCTGTTGATGCTGTAGCCATCTATTTTTTTTAAGGGGAGAATGATTTTTATTTTTTTAATATATTTTATTGATTTTTTATAGAGAGGAAGGGAGAGGGATCGAGAAACATCGATCAGCTGCCTCTTGCACACCCCCTACTGGGGATGTGCCCGCAACCAAGGTACATGCCCTTGACCGGAATCGAACCTGGGACCCTTCAGTCCGCAGGCCGACGCTCTACCCACTGAGCCAAACCGGTTAGGGCTGTAGCCATCTATTTTGTTCTCTTGCTGGTGAGGAATAGGAACTGATGTACATTGGTGAGGTTTGCTGGAGCCTGACTGAATGATGGGTGACATCTGTTGGTTGGTGGTAGACAAGGAAGGGTGAATCGGTCTCGCTCTGACATCGACACAGGTGTAATAAAATGGTTCTGATTCCACCCATCCTTTTTATAAATGCCCGGAGGTCCTGATTTTGCCATAATGTATTCAAGACCTGGGCTGATGCCTTCACCACTTTCAGAGATGATCTGTCTCCTCTGCCCTTGGTTATGTTCAACAGCTTTTTGATGCCTCAGAGTCGGTCAGGGTACACAAGTTCTTTAGTTGATCACTTCCCACCCTCCCCCACCTTCCCTCTGAAATTCTGCAGTCTGTTCCATGCTTCCATGACTCTGGATCCACTCTGTTCATCAGTTTATTTTGTTAATTAGAGTCCACATATGAGTGAGATCATGTGATACTTGTCTTTCTCTGACTGGCTTATTTCACTTAGCATAATACTCTCCAGGTCCCTCCATGCTGTCTCAAAGGGTAAGAGATTCTTCCTTTTTACAGCTGCATAGTATTTTATGTACCAAATACTTTTAAAAGGGTTTATACTTCAACCCAACAATTCTCCTTCTAAATATCTATTGCACAAAAACAAATGTACCCGGATATTTATTTCAGCACTGTTTATAATACTAAAAAATGAGAACAGCATAAAGACCTATACATCAGGGACTGGCTAAAATAGCTATGGAATATACATTTGTGATTATATAGCCTACTGCCCAAACCCTGCCTCTTGTTTTGGGATAGAGAAACTTTAAAAGCACAAAAAGGTGCCCAGCCAGTGTGGCTCAGTGGGTGAGCGTTGACTTATGAATCAGGTCACGGTTCAATTCCTGGTCAGGGCACATGCCCGGATTTCGGGGTCAATCCCCAATGTGGGGTGAGCAGGAGGCAGCCAATCAATGATTCTCTCTCATCATTGATGTTTCTGTCTCTCTCGTCCTCTCCCTTCCTCTCTGAAAGCAATAAAAATATGTATTCTTTAAAAAGCACAAAAGGTGTGGGAGGAAGGGAGAGAGAAAGAGAAAAAAAAACATTCATGCAAGAGAGGAAACATTGATCAGTTGTCTCCCCTACACACCCTGACTGGGGATTGAACCTGAAACCCAGGTGTGTGCCCTGACCAGGAACTGACCTTTCTATGCACAGGACAATGCTCCAACCCACCGAGCAACACTGGCCAGGGCTGGAAACATTTTTTAAAGGATTCCCCAGACACCTTTGAAAGAGGAAAAAAAACTAGGCAAACATCTGGAAAGATTGATTTTTTTAAAGTTAGACATTATGAATAGAAATGTTAGGAGTAAAAAGTATATAATACAGTATAGCAGAGATTTTTAAATGATAGGATAAATTTATTGCAGTAAATCTGAAAAGTGATTAACTGAACATTGTGCTAAGAAAATATAACTTACTCAAGAAACAAAACACCTGAGTACAACTAAATTCAGTTTCGAGGACATTGAATCAGTGGTTTAAAAATCTACCCTCACCCACATGAAATCCATTAGATCTAAGCCGTTTTGCCAAGCATTCAAAGAGCAGCTATTCCTAATGTTATGCAAACATTTATATAGAAAAATTGTAATGTTCTCACAGCTCACTTAACAAAGCATCATATAGTTTCATGCATAAATACTGCAGTTTGTAGCCTTAAGAGAAAGGGTCTCATTCTTGTTCAAAAGACAATGACGCCAAAACCGGTTTGGCTCAGTGGATAGAGCGTCGGCCTGCGGACTGAAGGGTCCCGGGTTCGATTCCGGTCAAGGGCATGTACCTGGGTTGCGGGCACGTCCCCAGTGGGGGATGTGCAGGAGGCAGCTGGTCGATGTTTCTCTCTCATTGATGTTTCTAACTCTCTATCTCTCTCCCTTCCTCTCTGTGGAAAAATCAATAAAAAAAAAATATAAAAAAAAAAAAAAGAAAAGAAAAAAAGGAAATAAAAAAAACAAACAAAAAAAAACAAAACAAAAGACAATGACAATACCATTTTCCCACCCAAATGGTTGCAGGGTGTGCATCTGCAGCTTTTACTGTTTTATTGGGGTCACACCTTATACATAATTTTGTCTACTGGCCTTTTCACACCAACCTGCTGCAGAGCGGGTTCCACACTGCAAGATGGTCACAACCCCGGCTGTGTGGGCCCATGTGGTCCAGAGTGTAGCCTCCTCTTTCACCAAAACTTTTGGCAGCTACAAATGATGACGCAGCCCGGCCAGCGTGGCTCAGTGGTTGAGCGTCAACCTATGAACCAGGAGGTCAAGGTTTGATTCCCATTCAGGTTGCGGGCTCAACCCTCAGTGTGGGGCATGCAGGAGGCAGCCAATCAATGATTATCTCTCATCATTGAGGTTTCTATCTCTCTCCCTCTCCCTTCCTCTCTGAAACCAATATTTTTTTTAAATTTTCAATGATGGTGCAGTGAGCATGTCTACAATGTCAGAGTCACAGTACCTGACTATCTCTTAGAGTTAAACAGGCTGAGAATGTCCATTCTGCCAAACCGGTCCACCCAAGAGTGGCACCACAGGCCTGTCCCCTGTGCCTTGCCAGCAGGGCAGCAGACATCATTTGTTGCACTTTTGAAATTACTTTCTGTTCAGTTGGAGTCTGTGTTGTTTTAGTTACTGGTGAAAGAGAAACGCTTTCCTATTGTGCTAACTGGCCATCTGGATTTTTCTTAAAGCATCGAGCAGCAGGTGTGTGAGCAACAGGGAACATAGGTTCCGGCAGGATGTGCTTCTAGCTGTCTATCTACTTCCCAAAGCCAGGCTCATGAGAACCAAGGGGCCACAGCTAAGAAGGCAGGCAAGCTACTTCCCACACCGGAAGAATCCCACCACTTGTTCCGGAAGCTCAACCAGAGCAAAACCAGAAAGAAAGAAAGAAGAATCCCTCTTCTGTGCAAACAGCCTGGTTCAAAATCTCTGGTGTAGAAGGCAGAGTTGGCCCCTATAGAAGGAAGCAGGCAAAAGGGAAGGTTCAAAAGAGCAGTGGTTGCCTGGCCAATGTGGCTCAGTGGTTGAGCGTCAACCTATGAACCAAGAGGTCACAGTTCGATTCCAGATCAGGGCACATGCCCGGGTTGCAGGCTTAATCTCCAGTGTGGGGCATGCAGGAGGCAGCTGGTCGATGATTCTCTCTCATCATTGATGTTTCTCTCTCTCCCTCTCCCTTCCTCCGTAAAATCAATAAAAAAATATATATTTTTTAAAAAGTGTACTCGGGAGAAGCATCCCCCCCCCCGCACCCCATCAGACCATGAGGTGGCCACAACTCCAAACCCAAAGCAGTGGAGAAAGGACGGGTAAATGTCACTACACAAAGATAACAAACTTCAAGTCCAAACCACGCTAGTACCAAGTCACGGTGGGAAAAGATCACTGCAACTTCCACCACACGGAAGAGCTGACCCCACTAATGACCAAAGCGCTCCTACAAAGCGAGGAACAAAAGACTAACAACCCAAGAGCAAACTGGTCAACAGATACAAACAAGCCATTCACACCAGAATTGAAAAGGACCCCGAAGCTCTGAAAGACGCTCACGCTCACTCTTAATGAGAACTACATGATGGCAAAAGCCCACCGGTTGACACCCCTCACCAGGGCAAGGCTATGGGGAACGAGGGGAGAGCAGGAAACCACACTGGGGGGCACCGGCACCACCTACCCTGTTTGCAGATGCTCAGTGTGGCCGCTTCTAAGAATCTGACCCAAAGACACACAAGGTTGACCCAATGCATTTTCACTGTGGCATTATTTATGACAATAAAAAGACTGGCAACAAGGCAAATGCCGTGGTGCAGCCTCCCAGCGGAAGAGCACACAGCCCAGGACTGTGCCCGCAGTGCATGCGCAGGAGCTGGGCCAGAAGGAAGAGCTCCCTCCCATCTCAGGCTGGGAAGCAGTCCTCTCTGAGAGCCTTGACCTTGATTCCTGACTTCCCCAATGGAGGTGGAATAGGGAGCCCAAGAGGCAAGTGGTTCAAGCAGACAGAACGGACAAAAAGAGCAGAGCATCAGGACTGGCTGGGATACCGTGGGCCCTAAAAGAGGCAAACCAGCAGCCGGGGAAGCTGAAGCGGAAGTCCCTGCAGCTAGCTCGTGGCGCTCAAAGCAGCAGCCTGCTCTTTGTCACCTCGCCTGGAACGAGGCAGGCGGGAGAGGGAAGCGGAGATTGCACTGTCCTGGGCTGGTCGCCGGCAGGCGGCTCTACTGAATGCACTCCATGACGTGGATCTGCAGGGTGTCCATGTCAGGAGCCTGATACTGGCACTTGGGGCAACAGAAGTCAGGTGGCTCCTCGGGGGGGCTTCTCTGGATGAACGCGGGGTGAAAGGACTGGTGAGCTGCAGAAGGAGAAGAGGCGCTGGTTACAGCACAAACTGCAGGGGGGGAGGGGACAGAAAGTAATGAGACCTGATGGGACCATCAGATCCAATTACCAGGGTCACTGCCACTAGCACCTTCCCTTTAGCAACTCTCTGGGGGAGCGGGGGGGGAAGTGTACCAATGAGAAGCAGCCCATTCGAGCTCCCACCGCCCAGGCTCCCCAGGCTGCCAGCACCCTCCCCTCCCCAGCCCCTCCTCCTGCAGCTCTCACCTTGGGCAGGGGGCTGGGAGACCTCTACATGCCGCTTCCTCATATCTTCAATCCTTTGAGAAGAGAAACTATGCAATCAATACATGCAAGCCAAGCTCTGAGTGGCGTACAAAGCTGATGGAAGGACAGGGCGGCAGGAGGAGAGACAGAGGGCCAGGCACCCTCAGTCTCTTGCGCTCACAGCTGGAGCCCCCACAGCCCCCATCCTGCTCTGCTCTGCATGCACCACGTGCTCCAAGACCTACCTGGCCGACTCCTGGCAGCTGGCCTTCAACCTGCTGAACTCCCGCTGCAGCTGCTCCAGCTGCTCCTGCAGCAGCTCCTTCTTCTCGGCCAGCTTCTCCCGGGCCTGCCGCTCAGCCTGGAAATCAGCCTCGTAGATATCCGCCTGGCAAAGCCAAGAGAGAGGAATGTGCCCACCACCTGTCAGCCACTCCTTGGACACTGTGCCGGGCACAGGAGCGAAGGCAGAGCCCGCTTCCACCCTCCCACGGCCCATGGCACAGAGAGAGTCCCCAGGTGCACTGAGAGGCCAAGGAATAGTCAAGAGGTCAAGGGGCTCGAAGAGCTTCTGAGAAGCCACTGCAAAATGACACCAGAGACATGCCAGGTGCCAGTGCCAGCAGGCCTGGCCTGCTCACCCGCATGTAGGCCACAGACCCTCACCTGGGCCTTGAGCACCGGAACGGTCTCCATCACAATCTTGTGCTGCTCGGCCTCTTCCTTCAGCTTATCGATCAATTCCTGCTTAGCCACCAGGGCCTCCTCGGCCTGCTGGAGCTGCTGCTTGAGATCTTCCAGCTGCATTCCCTAGGGATGGGCGAGGGGAGCTGATGAAGCCCGAGTTGGCCCAGGCCTGGGGTCGTGCCACCCCCAGGCCGGCTGCTACTTTAGGCGAAAAGAACTAAGAGGAACAAAAGATCGGACCCAGGTGGCCCGCCAGCCACAAGATGTCAGTGTGTGCAGGGCTTGGGAAGGTGGAGGCTGAAGAGGACCTCTGAGGTCATCTGGCACAAGCTCCCACCCAGGCCAACACTCCCTTCCCAGAATCCCAGCTGGACAGTCCTCCTCCAACCCATCAAAGGCCCAGAGCCACACTCCCTCCTGAGGCTGCCTGCTCCACGCTGAGCTGTTCTCCCAAACTAACAGTCCACCACGCACCCACTACGCCAAAACGCATCGGTCCTTCCACTCTGCCACCTGATCAAAGGTCTGCTGGTCCCTCCCAGACACCCATATACACACACTCACACAGACACTCGCATTCAGACACACACATCCACACACTCACACACAGACACTCGCACTCAGACACACACATCCACACACTCACAGACACTTGCACTCAGACACACACATCCACACACTCACACACAGACACTCGCACTCAGACACACACATCCACACACTCACACACAGACACTCGCACTCAGACACACACATACACACACTCACACACAGACACTCGCACTCAGACACACACATCCACACACTCACACACAGACACTCGCACTCAGACACACCCATATACACACACTCACACAGACACTCGCACTCAGACACACACATCCACACACTCACACACAGACACTCGCACTCAGACACACACATCCACACACTCACAGACACTCGCACTCAGACACACACATCCACACACTCACACACAGACACTCGCACTCAGACACACACATACACACACACTCGCACTCAGACACACACATCCACACACTCACACACAGACACTCGCACTCAGACACACACATACACACACTCACACACAGACACTCGCACTCAGACACACACATATACACACACTCGCACTCAGACACACACATACACACACACTCGCACACAGACACTCCCACTCAAACACACACATACACACACTCGCACAGACACTCCCACTCAGACACACACATACACACACACTCGCACACAGACACTCCCACTCAGACACACACATACACACACACTCGCACACAGACACTCCCACTCAGACACACACATACACATTCACAGACACTCCCACTCAGACACACACATACACACACTCACACACAGACACTCGCAGACACACACATACACACACACAGACACTTGCACTCAGACACACACACATACACAGATGCACTCAGTCATAGCACAAATACACGGGCACACAAGCAACATACAGACACATACAGATAGACACATACACAGATACACAGACACAAGCCCACATGCATGCACACACACCACCCAACCATCCCTCTGGAGATCTAAGAGCCACAGTTTGGCAACTAACTCTTCCTGTGTAACTGGTTTCAGACTTTACCCTTATAAGTCTCTTCTGCGTATATTCGTGTTTGACCAGGCTTTACCCTTATAAGTCTCTTCTGCGAATATTCGTGTTTGAAGAGGACCTCTGAGGTCATCTGGCACAAGCTCCCACCCAGGCCAACACTCCCTTCCCAGAATCCTTAAAATGTGATCACTAAAAACTGTACTCAGCCCAGTCGGCATGGCCCAGTAGTTGAGCGTTGACCTATGAACCAGGAGGTCATGGTTCAATTCCTGGTCAGGGCACATGCCCAGGGTTGTGGGCTCCATCCCGGTGTTGGGTGTGCAGGAGGCAGCCGATCGATGATTCTCTCTCATCACTGATGTTTCTCTCTCCCTCCCTCTCCTATCCTCTCTGAAATCAATAAAAATATTTTTTAAAAAAACAAAAACTGAACCCAGTAGAGGTCTCATAAGGACAAACTAGAAAAGGGCTCTCCTCTGACTTCAACACTGGGATGGAAACATTCCCAGAGAAATCTGAGCCAGGAGCCAAACTGGTGACGGCTAGCAGGAGGACCCAGCCCAAGTGTCCCCATCTCCCTGTAGTCTACCCTGAGCCATCACACTGCAGCCCTGACAAAATTCTAAGATAAGTCGAGTATCCCTCCCTCGCATTTGGGAGAGCAGGCCCCATGGGAGAGGAGACGGGTCAGCTCAGTCCTAGGCAGTTCCTGGGGTGTGCCCGCCATACTCACTCGGTTTCGCTCATTGCTCGCTAGGCTGCTCTTCATGCGGTTGTCATAATCTTGGAAGAGCTGGTGATAGGCTGCCTGGAGCTGCGCCAGCTTCCGCCTAAGAAAAAGGAGCTTTCGCTGGAGGAACCACCTTGTCCTGGACCAGCCACAGCTTTTCCTGCTTCCAACTCCGCCCTCTTTTATCCTCCCACAAACCCGAATGGGGCTCCCAGGACACATACGTGCCTTAGAGGCCATCAGTTCCGAGGCACGCTTGGCTAAATAGTTAATATTATTTTCCTCATAACTAGCATATTTTGAAGTATGAAAAGAAATGTTTATAATAAAATGGAACTGTCTGCACTCTTTAAAAAAGTCAACTTCATACCCTAGCCAGTAAGGCTCAGTGGATAGAGTGTCAGCCTGTGGACTGAAGGGTCCTGGGTTTGATTCTGGTCAAGAGCATGTACCTCGGTTGCAGGCTCGAACCCTGACCCTGGTTGGGGCATGTGTGGGAGGCAACCAATGGATGTGTCTCTCTCACATCAATGTTTCTCTCTCTCTGTCTCTCCCCCTCCCTTCCACTCTCTCTAAAAATCAATGAGAAGCCCAGCCTGGTGTAGCTCAGCGGTTGAGCATTGACCCAGGAGCCAAGAGGTCACCAGTTCAATTCCTGGTCAGGGCACATGACTGGGTTGTGGGCTCAATCCCCTGTGAGGGGCATGCAGGAGACAGCCAATTGATGACGTTTCTCTCTCATCAATGTTTCCATCTCTCTATCCCTCTCCCTAGAAATATTAAAAATCAATAAAAACGTTTAAAGAATAAAGAAAGAAAGAATCAATGGGGAAAATATCCGTACATGGCGATTAACAACAAAAAAAGTCAACTTCATGAAAAACAGAAAGGCAGGACTAGTCAAAGGTATACCAACAAAAGGAATGAAGGATCCTGGACCAGATGCCGTTAACACGTGGGCCAAACAGTAGAGTCTGAATATGGCCTGGAGAATGTTGTCATTTAAAGTATGAATCACTTGGATGTGATAATGGTTAAGGAACTGAATCCGGCCCTCAGCCACAGGCAGTCCCTAGAAGGGCTCTCCCACAGGTAGAAAGCCACCGACATCCCTCCGACATCCCTCCGGTCTCCATCCCTCTCATGTCAGGCACCACTCACTTCTCCTCCGAGGCAACCTGGCGCTCCTTGCGCAGAGCAGCCTCCATGCTCTGGTTCTGCATGCGCAACTGGTCCACCTGCACGCTGTGCTGCTGCTGCAGTGCCTCCCGCTCGCTCTCCAGCTGCCGGGCCTGCTCACTGGCTGCCCGGGCCCTGCATGGGGGAACAGGGAGGTCACAGTGGGGCCCCAGCAGGAGTGAGGGTGCTCACAGGAGCCCTGCTGTGCTGAGAAGGACTGCCAGCGAAAGGCAGGTGGGAGCCAGAGAGCACTAGAAGCTATGCAGTCTGAGGAGAGAAGACGGGCCCTGGGAGCATGGAGAGGAGTCTTGGTTCAGAACATCTTGTCAATGCACAGCCAACACAGTGTGAGAAAGAGGGAGGTTGCCCTAGCCGGTTTGGCTCAGTGGATAGAACATCAGTCCTTGTACTGAAGGGTCCCAGGTTCGATTCCAGTTAAGGGCACCTAACTCAGTAGCAGGCTCGATCCCCAGCCTCAGTCAGGGAACATGCAGGAGGCAACCAATTGATGTCTCTCTCTCACATCGATGTTTCTCTCTCTGTCTCTCCCCTCCCTTCCACGCCCTCTAAAAATCAATGGGAAAATATCCTGGGGTGAGGATTAACAAAAACAAAAAAGAAGAAAGGAGGAGGCACTGTCACTGGAGACAGCGACAACTGCAGGGCACCAGGTTAGGGACAACGTGTTTGTGTCAATGTAGGGACCCAGCCAACAACCAAGTGCAGGTGCCAAGGAGACCTGGGGCTCAGGTTCAGGCTGATGCCATCCATTATAGAAGCCCCTTCAAAGGTGAAAGAGTGATCCCAGAAGAGGATGCTGCTGCGGCCAGGAGAGAGAAGCTCTCAGGAACCACCCCTTAGGGGCCAACAGGAGGGGGATGGGGGCCCAGCCAGAGCAGTCTCCATGGAGGGGCCAGGAGAGATTGGGAGGAGAGGAAGTGGAGGCAGCCAGAAAAAATAAGCCTTTCTAGAAGGTGGGGGGGGGAGCAAGGTAAGAAATAGGTTGGGGGTTGTCCGGCCAGCGTGGCTCAATGGTTGCGCATTGACCTATGGTCACGGTTCGATTCCCAGTCAGGGCACATGCCCGGGGTAGCAGGCTCCATCCCCAGTGACTGCATGTGCAGGCAATCAATGATTCTCTCTCATCATTGATGTTTCTCTCTCTCTCTCCTTCTCCCTTCCTCTCTGAAATCAATAAAAATATTTTTTTGAAAAGAAAAAAACGGGTGGGGCAACTGGAGGGGGAGGCAGGGTCAGTGTGCTCAGGCAACTCTTTCCCTCCCAGTGACTATTCTAGAAGTGGCAAGGAAGTGACTGGCCCACCTCAGTGGCTCATTTGGAGATCCAAACATCCACCCCTGTGAGGAGAGCCTCCCACTGGCCTGCCTGGGGGGGCAGCAGTAGCCTGGGCAGGAAATTCCTCTTTCCCTCTGTACTCCTGCTGTAGCAGCTCGTCTCTTCTCCCCTGGGTCCCCCCAAAGCCTCCAGTCTTCCGATTCAGGCCCCATATTACCCCATAGCCCCTGACCGCCCATCTCCACACTCATATCCCCCTAAATCTGCAGTTCCAGGTTCCGGCATGTCACCCTGCCGTCCTGAGGCCTTCCATAGGCCCCACTATGAGGGCAACAGTGAGTGTTTCTGGGTGGGGGCAGGTTACTGGGGTTTTTTTCCCACACCTGTCCAAATATATATATATATATATATATATATATATATATATTAATATATATATATTAGTACAGATATACATTTACATATACATATACATATACATATACATATACATATACATATACATATACATATACATATACACTGAGTGGCCAGATTATTATGACCACCCCATCAGTACTTCATTGGGCCACCTTTTGCCTTCAATACTGCGGCGATTCTTCTTGGCATTGACTCCACGAGATGTTGAAAGGTGATGCGAGGAATCTGACACCATGCCTGATGAATAGCACTGTCCAGTTCTGTGAGATTTGATGGTTGTGGAACCAGCTGCCTGATGGCTTTTAACTTCGTCCCACAAATGCTCAATTGGATTGAGATCTGGTGATTGTGGGGGCCACCTAAGCAAGGTAAAGTCTCCCTCATGTTCTTGAAACCACTCCTGCACAATGCGAGCACCGTGGCATGGCGCATTGTCTTGTTGGAAGAAGCCATCTCCATTGGGATACGCCATCAACATGATAGGATGAACTTGATCAGCAACGATACCTAGGTATGTTGTGCTATTCAGACGTTTATAATGGTCTAGCCCTCTAGCAACTTCAGCATGAAATAGCTAATTTGCCTACAAATGTCAGGTGATCATAATAATCTGGCCACTCAGTGTATATATACATGTGCATGTATAGGTATAGGTATAGGTATAGGTATAGGTATAGGTATAGGTATAGGTATAGGTATATGTAACACACATTTCCATCTGTTATCAGATAAAAGTTAGGTGCTGATACCCAGCCAACGTGGCTCGGTGGTTGAGCATCGACCTATGAACCAGGAGGTCACGGTTCGATTCCTGGTCAGGGCACAGCTCAGCTAAGCACCTGTCTCCATGCCCCTGTGCTGACTCACAGTCCTCCAGTTCCCCCTCACAGAGGAACCCACAGAGACACCTAAATGGCCTCAGTCTTCTCAGGTACCCTGACAGAGGCCTCCAGGTGGGCGTGCCCTCGCCACTCACCTGGCTTCCAAAGCCTGCCGATCCTTGGTGGCAGCCTCCAAGCGACTCTGGCTCTCCTGGAGCTCCCCCAGCAAGGACGTCACCTGGGCTTTCACCGAGGCCTTGTCCTCAGCCATCTGCTACATGAAAAAGAGCCACTTCCTGTCAGCAATGCTTTCTCACCAGCTGCCCACCCTTGGTGGCCCCAAACCCTGGGGCAGCCTGCAAGTGCTAAGATGCGTCACCCTGAGGGCTTCTCTCCCGCCTTTGGCACCCCTACTCATCTCACCTCTCGCCTTCAGAAGTTGCCAAACCCCAGCCAGGCAACTGATGCAATGGAGAGGGGTCGAGTCCCATGAGCCCCTCCTCATCTCTGCGGATGGGGTATGATGAGACCCAGCACAGAGCGGCCTCAAGTCTCCTAACACTGACGACCAGGCTGTGAGGACTGAGCCCTGCAGGAATCTCTCAGCCTCTCTGAGACTAGATGCCAAGGGAGGCGAGACACAAAGACAGTGACAAAAGTACACGCTCTATTCCACAGGCCCGGGGCCACTAGAAGGTAAGGTGTTAATGACACTATTCCCAGAAGACCTCTGCCAGCCACAAATTCAAAAGTTGTCTAGCCCAGCCGGTTTGGCTCAGAAGGTGAGCATCGACCTATGAACCAGGAGGTCACGGTTCAATTCCCAGTCAGGGCACATGCCTGGGTTGCAGGCTCAATCCCCAGTGTGGGGCGGGCAGGAGACAGCCGATCAATTATTCTCTCTCGTCATGGATGTTTCTATCTCTCCCTCCCTCTCTGAAATCAATAAAAATATTTTTAAAAAGAAAAAAAATATGTAGATCAAGTTTTCAGGCTAAATAGTAAAAAAAAAAAAAAAGAGCCCTTGCCGGTTTGGCTCAGTGGATAGAACATCAGCCTGCAGCCCAAAGGGTCCCGGGTTCCATTCCGGCCAAGGGCACATACCTGGTTGCAGGCTCCTCCCCATCCCGAGCCCTGGTCGGGGCTCATGCAGGAGGCAACCAATCGATGTGTTTCTCTCACATTGATATTTCTGTCTTTCCCTCTCTCTTCCACTCTCTCTCAAAATCAATGAAAAAATATCCTCGGGTGAGGATTAAAAAAAAAAAAGAGTTGCTTAGCCGGAGTGGCTCAGTGGTTGAGTGTCGGCCTAGGAACCAGGAGCTCACGGTTCCATTCCCAGTCAGGGCACATGCCTGGGCTGTGGGCTCAGTCCCTGGTAGGGGGCGTGCAGGAGGCAGCCATTCGGTGATTCTCCCTCATCATTGGTATTTCTATCTCTCTCTCTCTCTCTCTCTTCCTCTGTGAAATTAATTTTTAAAATAGGTTTCTATGCCGAAACCGGTTTGGCTCAGTGGATAGAGCGTCGGCCTGTGGACTGAAAGGTCCCGGGTTCGAATCCGGTCAAGGGCATGTACCTGGGTTGTGGGCACATCCCCAGTAGGAGGTGTCCAGGAGGCGGCTGATTGATGTTTCTCTCTCATTGATGTTTCTAACTATCTCTCTCCCTTCCTCTCTGAAAAAAATCAATAAAATATATTAAAATAAAATAAAATAGGTTTCTAAACAAAAGATGTCGAAACTCGCAATTGCCTGATCTCCCTCATCAAACAGTCCGGACCAGATCCCCGTAACCTCAAGCTGCTCTAGCCCAGGGTTGAGACTCAGTCCTCCCCATCACTGACCCCTGTGCAGTAACCCCTCCATAGTAGCCGCCACTCCTGAGGGTGCTCTGGGGGACCCCTCTGGAAACACTGACATCCCTGTGTTTGCAGAAAGCACGAGGCTGGTCGCACAGGTGGCCAGAGCCCCTAGCTTGGCCGCTCCTGGGAGAAGGCCTGCCTGCCCCCTGCGCTACCTGCTGGCATCTCTTCAGGTGCTCCACCTCCTGTAGGGCCTGCTCCCTCTGCCTCTTCAGGTCCAGCTTCTCCAGGTTCAGTCTCTCCACCAGTTTCCTGGCCTCCTGGAACTTCTGCATGAGGAACTCCTTCTCCTCCCTCTGGCTGCCCTGGAAACGCTGCAGCTCCTCGCAGCACTCCCGCAGCATCTGGTTGCTCTGCCGGATGGCATCTGGCAGCAGAAGAAACAGCCGAGGGGAGGTAAGCCCTGGCAGCCAGCCTGCCAGCCCCCTGGCCTGGCACAGTGCATTCCCCATAACACCGAGCCGCCTCTCACACAGAGTCTCATTGAATGAGAAGCTAGAGATGCCACCTGGGCACCTGGGGCTACACCTAAGTACCAAAGGAGCAGATTTGGAGCCCCGGAGGTATGATCAAGGGGTGAGGCCTTGTCACACAGAGGAGGGAGGATGCACCACACCCAGGGACAGCCATGGTGCCTGAGGGGCACAGTACAATGGCCACTGGGACCTGGAGAAACTGCCCCCGATTCAGGTGAGGATGTGGGGGGTGAGAGTGGGGGCTGTGGTGGAGACAGGGATGGGGTGGCCAGGAAAAAACTCAACCCCCATCCACATGTGGGGAGGAGGCAGCTGGAGGACAGCCTTCAGCTGAGGGCTCTTCACAGAGACACCTGGCCGGAGGTCAGGAGCCCAAGACTCCTCCCTTTCTTTCCCAAAGCAGCCCATAGGCCCTTCCCAGGGAAGGCCACGCCCCTTCCCACAAAAGGCCATGCCCCCTTCCCAGGATAGCCAGCGCTTAATGACTAATCAGTATGGAAGTATAAACACCTGGCCACATTGGCCCACCTTGGGACAACTCAGAAGGGTCATTCCAGCTCCAGAGCTTGGCCTGCACTGCAGCCCAGCTTCTCCTTCTGCCCACCCCTGCCTTTTCCCTGTCCTTCCCTTCCCTTCTCTTCCTCTTCTGGTCCTCAGAGCACTCTAAATAAACTTCCTACCCAGCCGGTGTGGCTCAGTGGTTGAGCATCTACCTATGGATCAGGAGATCATGGTTCGATTACTGGTCAGGGCACATGCCTGGATTGTGGGCTCGATCCCCAGTGGGGGGCATGCAGGAGGCAGCTGATCAATGCTTCTCTCTCATCATTGACGTTTCTGTCTCTCTCCCCCTTCCCTTCTGAAATCAATTTTTTTAAAAAAGAAACTTCCTGCACATTCATCTCTGTCTCACAGTATGCTTCCAGGGAACCCCACCTGAAACACTGAGGGAGGGTGACTGAGCTTGAATTGCTAGCTGGCTCTCAGACGTCCGCCTAGACCAGCGGTTCTCAACCTGTGGGTCGCGACCCCTTTGGGGGTCGAACGACCCTTTCACAGGGGTCGCCTAAGACCATCGGAAAACACATATATCATTACATATTGCTTTTGTGATTAATCCCTATGCTTTAATTATGTTCAATTTGTAACAATGAAATTGGGGGTCACCACAACATGAGGAACTGTATTAAAGGGTCGCGGCATTAGGAAGGTTGAGAACCACTGGCCTAGACTCAGCAGACACAGAGGCACAGGTGAGCAGAATAAGCCTTCCCCCAGCAGGCCTGGGTCCCCTGATTTTTACTCCACGCCCACTGTCCTCCTCACCTCGGAGCTCTTGATTCTCCTCCAGGCAGCGCTGGAAGGTCTCAGGAGCACCCTGCTCCGAAGGCAGGTGGAGCATGGCCGGCTTCCCCAGAGAAGACTCTTCACCCATCATGTCCTGGTCCCCAGCCGGGCCACCGCTGGGCTGCACCATCTCACACAGCAGACTCTTCCCGGGGGGCCTGCTCATTCAACAAGTCAAGGTTTGGAAGAGAAAGACAGCAGGAGCGTCACACGGGACCTGTGCAGATTCCCCTGCAGGACAAGGAGCGCAGATGTCAGCAGCTCTGGGGCCATCCCTATAAGCAGAATGCCAAGCATTCTGTCAAGTGTAACAGGATGTGAAAATGGATTTTTTGGTCTAAGAGGTGACCCATACTCCCATTCCAAAGGGAGGTGCAGGCCCATATGTGGGACTTGGAAAAGCCATGGTTCAGCACTGATTAGAAACTCTTGTCTAGCACCTGTCTCTGGGCTGTAAGCTGAAATGAAGAATTTCATGCCCTGGCCGGTAAGCTCAGTGGTTAGAGCGCCAGCCCACACACTGAAGGATTTCTGGTCAAGAGCACATACCTTGGTTGCAGGTTCTATTTCCAGCCTGGCCTACTAGAGGCAACCAATCACCAATTGATGTGTCTCTCTCACATTGATGTTTCTCTCTCTAGCTCTCCCCCTCCCTTCCATTCTGTCTAAAAATCAATGGAAAAATATCCTCAGGTGAGGATTAACAAAAAATAAAAAAAGAAACAAAAGACCACATATTGTATGATTCTGTTTATATGAAATGTACAGAATAAGCAAATATATAGACAGAAAGCTGCCCTGTCGGTGTGGCTCAGTGGTTGAACGTTGACCTATGAACCAGGAGGTCACTGTGTGATTCCCAGTCAAGGCACATGCCCAGATTGTGGCCTTGATCCCCAATAGGAAGCGTGCAGGAGGCAGCCAATCAATGATTCCTGCTCTCCCTTCCTCTCTCTGAAATAACTAAAAAACAAAAGTTAAAAAAAAAAAAAAGAGAGCTTAGTGGATGTTTAGAGGGACCGGAGATGGAGTGATGGAGGTGATAGCTAAAGGGCACAGGGCTTCTTTTTGAAGTGATGAAAATGTTTTGGAATCACTAGTGATGATTGTACAACTCTGAATATCCTAAAAACCAGTGAACTGTACACTTTAAATGGGGTGAATTCTGTGGTATGTGAATTACATCTCAATAAAGCTGTTCTTGATAAATAATAATAATGAGACAGGATTGTACGGGGTATAAATTAAACAAAATTAGCCATGAGTTGATAATTGTTCAAGCTGGGATGTGGGTACATGGGTTTACTATACTATTCTTCCTACTTTTGTACATCTTTTAAATTTTCATAATAAAATGCTCAAAGTACCATGTCTCTCCCTTGGATTACTGCAATAGCCTCCTAACAGGCCACCCTGTTCCTAACCTTGCTCCCTACAGTCAGCCAGAAAAATCAGCTTAAAAGAGTAATTCCAATCACGTCCCTGCTCTAATCAGACGCCTAATATGGCTCCTCATTGCCCTCCGTGTAAAAGCCAAAATTCCTACTAGAGCCTAAAGATCCTGTACCATCTGATTGCCCATTACTTCCTCTCCAAGGGCCTTACTCCGCTCCAGCTATAGTGGCCTCTTTGCTGTTTTTAAAACATGCCAGGATGGCCCATTCATTCTCGAGTCTCTCTCTCACACACACACACACACACACACACACACACACACACGCTCACATGCTATGAGGTGGGGTAGACATTAATCGTTTTGCAAAGTGAGCAAACGGAAGCACATGGAGGTAAGATAGCTGCCAAACTGTATTGGGACCTTATTAAAGAATTTAACAACCTCAAATGCAGTCAAGTTTGATGAACAGAAAATGTCTCCGAACTAGAAGAGTCATCCACGAACTAGGGGCGTGGTCAAACTCCGCGGCCGCGGAGGAGGGACAAGCGGAACAGTCAAGCTCGCCGCCAAAGTAATCTGGGTCCAGCATCGGCCCCGCCTGGGCCAGTGCCCTAGGAGCGGGCGGCAGAAACGGACCGGGGCCCAACAGGAGTAGGAAGCCTGGACGTCCGGGGGAATCTAGGAGGCGGCGGAACGCCCACCGATGGTACCCTGTCTTCCTGTCTTCGGGGAAGAGGGCCACACCTGTCAGCAGAATCGATCCGACGTGAGAAGGGCGGGAGCAGCGGGTCGCGAGCGCCCCTCGAGCCCGTCACTCCAAGCAAGTCCCCATTCCGCGGTAGCTCTTCCCCTCTCCGGCCGCTGAAATCCCCACTTCCGGCTTCCGGTGTCGTTGCTGTGGTACCGGGAAGTAAAACACGCAAGCCCCGCCCCACCCAGGAGGCCGGCAAGAGGTGTGAAGGAGGCTGTTTCCCAAGAAAGCCCGAGCCCGCCAGCCTCAGCCGGCCCGCAGTACGTTCCCTAGCGACGTGTACCACCCGCTGCTTTTCCCGGCATCAAGCCCACACTTCCCCTAGTCTCTCCAGCGGCGGCATCCAGCCCCCGGTCGCTCGGCCGTCCCGCCCCCGCAAGGGGAGGAGCCACGACGAGGCGATTTAATAGGGCTGGTTTGACCCCAGCCGGCGACCTGTCTGGACCAGGAGGCGGGGCCACGCCGTAAACGGGGGTCCAGGAGGCGTGGCCACGCCGCCGGCGGATGTGGAGCCCTTCGCGAGGGCGCAGGGCGACCGGGGTCGGAGGAGAAAGCCGGTTGCAGGGGCCGGGCCGAGCCTGTGATGGATGAGTGAGCGAACGGCGCAGAGCTGCGCCCGAACCTGCTAGGCATCAGGTACGCGGGACAGCGGCGGCGGGAACAGCAGCCTGACTGCGGCTCAAGAACCGGCGCAGGTGCCCAAGGGGCGGGGCGGGCAAAGGGAGGAGACCTCGCGCTGGAGGGGGCCCCTCCCTCGCGCAGCCTGGGATGCGCGCGCACCTGCCCGCGCCCCGCCCCCGCAAGGGAGGGGTCCGTGGAGGCCCCGCCCGCGCGCCTCGCCTGAGGCGGTCAGCTCAGCTCGGGCGCCCGCCTCCGCTAGTTAAATGGACCGGCGGGTCTCAGCCCCCGGAAACTGCCAGGAACTCCAGGGCTGCGAGCGCGACGGGCGGCGGCAACGAGGCACAGGTAACGAAGCGGGTGAGTGTCACGCCGTCCGAGGCGCGTGCTGCGCCGCGAGGCCCTCCGATGTGCCGCGCCGGGTAGCCGGGCAAAATCAAAGGGTCTCACATCCAATCGTCCCCATTGGACCCCTGAGGAGACAGACCCTGAGGGGGACAGGGACTTGCCGGAGTCTCCCAGCTTGGCCGGAAGAGGGCTGGAGCTGCAGGGTCTCACATGCTCCATCCAGCTCATTGGGGAGTTTCCACCTGGTTTCCTGGGTGAGATGCTCCAGCAGAGTTTTGCTCACTCCCCAGAATTGAGGCTCCAGTTGGAATCCACTGGTGCTTTGTGTAACTTTATAACGTCCACTGTGAAAGAAGGCTGCTCTGGGGAGTATGGCCAGAACCCACAGCCAGAAGTTTCTAACCCCGCCCCCCCCATCTTGCTCCTGCCCCCGCCATTCACAGCGAGTGGTTTCAATCATTAGACCTCAGCTGGGTGAGAGCCCAAAAGACCCCTTAAGAGAGGGACCAACTTCTCAAAGCTTTTCTGCTCTCCTGCCTTGCCAACAAGTCTTTCTCTCAGCAGAGAGCATCATGGCAGAGCAGGTGGACCTGAGCCGGACCCAGGTGTGCGGGATCCTGCGGGAAGAGCTGTTCCAGGGTGATGCCTTCCATCAGTCCGAAACACATATCTTCATCATCATGGGGGCATCGGTGAGTCTCCCCCAGGCCCTGCCTCTGAAAATCCAAAGTTAGAGCGCGATATTGCTTAAGATCCTTTCCTGCTGTGTGCGGAGCTTTCCCACCTGATTGTTGGGGGGCCACTTGGGCTCTCCCTCTTGTTCCTGCCTCTGTGCCATTATCACCCCAGCCCCACCTGGAATACACTCACTTCCAGGTGTATCTGAAATCTCTGCACAGCCCTTGACTGTAGACCTGTGTCCTAGAGCTGGGAGGTCCTTAGGGACAGTCTGATTGGGCTTCCTCCTCCCTGGGGAAAAGTGAGGTGCAAACAGGGGAGGCTATTCATGCCACGCCTGTCTTTTTCAAACCTGTTTGTGACTTGACAAATGTCACACAGCCAGTTAATTCCAGAGGCAGGATCTGAGGTCCTATCTGCACCTTTGTCTCTCGCTACCAAATCAAGTTCCCCGGGGACTAACACTCATCCTTTCTTTGAATGTTGTCTCCTTGCCTCAGCTTCCAAAGCCTGCTGAAGAGCCCCATTGCCTAGCCAGTGGCACCGTCATTTTGCTCTGAAAGGAAAGACCATGACTCCCACCCTAACCCCCCCCCACCCCCACCCAGTGTGAGGTGCAGAAGGGAGATCTGCCAGGCGGCAAGATGTGTCCATGGGCTGGTGAGATGAGCGGCCAGAGCTTCATCTGGAAGTCAAAGTGGCCTCTTCATTTTTAACCCTGCTCGTGACCAAGAATCTACTAAGCAGCGCATGACCATTTTTGCTTGTAACTTATTATATAATCTTGAGCCAGAATTCTACCAAAAGTCCTGGCCAGTGGTTAGAGTGTTGGCCTGACGACTGAAGGGTCATGGATTCAATTCCCAGTCAAGAGCACATACTTCAGTTGCAAGCTCGAACCCCAGCCCTGGTTAGGGTGCGTGCTGGAGGCAACCAATCAATGTGTGTCTCTCACATGGGTGTTTTCTCTCTCTCCCTTCCCTTCTGCTCTCTCTCGTCTCCATCCCTTCTACTCTCTCTATAAATCACTGGATGAGGATTTACAAACAAACAAAAAAAAAGAATTCTACCAAAACTAGTTAGCTCTTGACAGTGTAGGCATTGTCTCCCTGCGCCTTTCACGTCATGGTCCCCTCAGCTCTGGAGGACCTTGGTTCTTTGTTCATGTAGCATAGCGTGCTGCTGCCCTTCACAGAGCTTACTCCCTGCCAACTTGGTGATTCTGCTCACAGCTTGGAAAAGGAGAGCCAGAATACAGGGCTGGAGGCAGAGCCGGGGAGGAGGGTCTGCTGGTGGAGGGTAGGAAGGTCCCCCTTAAGCACCATCCTCTGCCTCCCCATAAGCTCAAGTCGGGGGAATGCACAGGAGGAGCACAGGGAGAAAGGCTTGGCCTCCACCCTTCGCCCAAGCCTGGCCCCCTTAGAGGAGCCGCCAACTTTAAGGCCTAGGACTCTGACCCTTTGGCCCTTTCTCCAGGAAATAGTTTGGAAGGGAAAGTAACTCAGGATTATGTCTCCTCCTTTCCCTTATCCCCATACCAGCCTGTCACAGGATGCTCCAACAGAGCATCCCAGGCCACAATAAATGGCTTATAGCTCCAGGCCCTCACATTTTAGATGTTTCATTGAGAGCATCCAACCTTGCTGTGTGACCTGGGGCAAGTGTCTCCCCTTCTCTGAACCTGTGTTTCCACATAGTAAATGAGGGCTTTTTTTTCATATCTTTTTATTGATTTCAGAGAGGGAGAGGGAGAGAGAGAAACATCCATGATGAGAGAGAATCATTGATCGGTTGCCTCCCACAGCCTGGGCATGTGCCCTGATGGGGAATTGAGCTGTGACCTCCTGGTTCATAGGTCAACATTCAACCACTGAGTCACACTGGCTGGGCGCAAATGAGAGTTTTTGAAGCAAATGCCAGGGGTCCTTGGACTCGCCGAGCTGATTCTGTGACTCCTCACTGCTTTCACCTGTGACCAGCTTGGGGTTGGGCAACTTTGTTTCTTTGCAATTGGTAGGGTTCCCCTTTGCTCTCCTCTGCCTGAGAGTGACAACCAGAAGCCTCCAGAGCAGAAATGGGAAGTGCCGCTCCAACAGGTGGAGTGGGGGAGCACAGGGTGTCTGTCCTCCATAGGAGGGCTCCTGTTCATTTCTCCACCTCCTGTTAGAGGGGCTGGAGCTGAGTGGGCCAGCCTCCCACACTCAGCACTTAGAACACCTCCCAGAGTCAGGCCTCCCATGCCTGCTCCTTCCATGTAGGAGGTAGGTAGGGTGGTACTGTGGGAAACCAGTGAGTTTTCTGTTCATTCATCCAACAAATGGCGATCAAGTGCCTCCTTGCAGCGCAGAGACAGGCCCCGCCCTCCCCCTGGGACCTGTGTGCTGGGGGCCCAGGACCCAAGGTGAGTTAGCAGCCCAGTAAGAATTCAGAGTGGCGCATGTGATAGGAGACACAAGCAGGCCCTTGTGTCACCTACCCCATCCCTCAGCAGCCAGATCTCAAAGGAGGGGCCTGCGGAGCCAGAGCTGGGGGAGCATTCCATGCAAAGGGAAGAGCAAACACAGACCCCCCCGGTGACTGGTGGGCCCCTCGGGGCAGCCCTCTGCCCCTTCCTCCTCCCCCACCCGCTTACCCAACCCTTGCCACACACCCAGCTTCCTTCCGGGGAGCATTGTAATGCTGGCTCATGGGGTTACCCAATGGGCTTGAAGCTGCTGTCTGTTCCCCCTTCTGTGTAGCCACTTCCCTCCGTCTCAGGATTCCCACCCCAAGTAGGAAGAGCATGTAGGTACTTACTGTCCCAGTCCAGAAAACTTTGGGATAAAAGAAACCAGTTTCTGCCTGGCCGGTGTGGCTCAGTGGTTGAGTGTCGACCTATAAACCAGGAGGTCATGGTTCCATTCCTGGTCAGGGCATATGCCTGGGTTGTGGGCTCAATCCCCAGGAGGGGGCATGCAGGAGGCAGCCAATCAATGATTCTCTCTTTTTTTTTAATATATATTTTATTGATTTTTTACAGAGAGGAAGGGAGAGGGATAGAGAGTTAGAAACATCAATGAGAGAGAAACATCGATCAGCTGCCTCCTGCGCACTCCCCACTGGGGACGTGCCCGCAACCAAGGTACATGCCCTTGACCGGAATCGAACCTGGGACCCCTCAGTCCGCAGGCCGACGCTCTATCCACTGAGCCAAACCGGTGCTGGCCAATGATTCTCTCTTATCATTGATGTTTCTCTCCCTCTCCCTTCCTCTCGGAAATCAATAATAAAAAGAAATTTTTAAAGAAAGAAACCAGTTTTTCTTTACAGACAAGCATGTGGGGAAGAATCTTGGGCCCAGCAGATCCTTTCCTTCCCCATCTGGTAGGGCCTCGGCCAGCCTGGAGTGACTCTTCCCTCCAAGGTCATAGAGAGGAATGGGAGTAAGAGAAAGAGATAAGACTGGGAATCGACTTGGACAGGATTGGCTTACTGCCTGGTTCTCAGCCCCTCGTCTCTCTGGGCCTCAATCTCCCCACCTGGACCACAGAGGCCATGGGCTCAATGGGTGCTCAGGACCCATCCCAGTGACGGGTACAAAGGATGACCTGGCAACCCGGCACCTCCCTTTCCTCGGAATTTTTCTGGACTGCCTTCCCCTTGGGCCGATAAAATTCTTGCTGTGTCATGATGATATTGGCAACACCCCCCCCCCCCAAAGTCCTGGTGATTCACCAGCCCCAGGGTGGAGTAGGGAGGCCCTTTTGTTGGCTTTGCAGCCAAACCTACCTCAGCAGCCCCCAGTTATCTCAGCCCAGTGGCCAAGAGCCAGCTGGTACCCAGCCAGGGCCCAGGCTCCACCCCAGGAGATGCAGCAGGTCCTTTTTAAAAAATGTGTTTTTATTGATTTCAGAGAGGAAAAGAAAGAGAACAAGAGAGAAAGAGATAGAAACAGCAATGATGAGAGAAAATCATTGATCGGCTGCCTCCTGCACACTCCCCACTGGGGATTGAACTTGCAACCCGGATGTGTGCCCTTACCAGGAATTGATCAGTGACCTCCTGGTTCATAAGTCAACTGAGCCACGCCGGTCGGGCACCCAGCAGATCCTTGACCTCAGTGACCCTAGAGGGATGGGATGGCCCACCCTTCAGGGCCTTGAGCTGGCAGCCAGTCCCTGGCGCTCTCTGTCACGCCTTCTGCCATAAAACCCTCACAAACTGACCGCAGCAGTGGTTTGGGCTTATAAGACAGGATACAGAAGTCAAACCTGGGTGGCAACAAGCAGGTGGCGGCCCGGGTTCCTTTGCCCCAGCCAAGCCAGATACTGGTGGCTGGAGATCCCAATAAGGTCCTGCTTCTCCAGCTAAGTCACCATGTCCCCAGGCAGCTCCTTCCCCGCTGTGGTCCTCCAGCAGAATGAAGGGTTTAGGGCCCGGCCAGTGAGGCTCAGTGGTTGACTGTCAACCTACGAACCAGGAAGTCACACTTTGATTCCTGGTCCGGGCACATGCCAGGGTTGTGGGCTCAATCCCCTGTGTGGGGCGTGCAGGAGGCAGCCAATCAATGATTCTGTCTTATCATTGATGTTTCTCTCTCCCTCTTCCTTCCTCTCTGAAATCAATGCAAATATTTTTTTAAATGAAGGGTAGAGGAAAGATTGCCGCATCTCACCAAAAGCCCCTGTAATTGCTCCACACCCACATGTGGCATGCTTAAATTTGATCAGTGTCTTCCCGCATGCCTTCTTGCAGAGGAGTCCAACCCAGGCCGGCCCAAAGAGAGCAGCTGCCAGGCCCCCCGCCCCCCACTGCCCTGGGTCCTGTGCCACCTCTTCCTTAGGTGACTTGGAGCCCAGCAGACCGCTGGTTGCAGGGGCTGAGCGGAACAAGACAAGCAGGTTCTATTGCTAATTAATCCCAGAGAGAATGGCAAGAACAAACAGTTGGGGTGTGGGGCACTGTGACTCAGCAGACAGGAAACTAGTCCCTTGCCACCACGCCATTGCCCACAGCCTGCTGGAATGCGATGGTAGGCAAACAGCTCCTGCCATGAGGTGTTTGCAGGCCAAGTTTCTGATTATTTTTCCTCCGGACTAGTCCCCAGCAAGCCCTCTCTTGAACAACAGGCCAACACTAAGCCAAGGTGACAGAAGCAGAGTCCTCATCCAGCCCCACTGATGGGAGAAGCCAGAGGCGGGCACTGCTATTCGCTATGGGTATTGCCGCTGTGGAGGCTCCTGGGCGCTGAAGGACAGAGAGGGGAAGCTCGGAGCCCAGACTGCGCTCAGAGCTGGACCTTAAAGGCCCGGTGAGGGCAGCCATCTGATGCCACTATGGCAGTGCTTCACGTGAAAGGTGGCAGTTAGGGACGCGCTCCCAACCATTTGGAGGTCAGTTGTGAGCAGTTGGTAGGCTTGGGCAGGGGCACCGGCACAGCATACCCTGGTTTGGGAACGGCCCACTTTGCAAGTTTGGGGTCCCGACTGGAGATGGCCAGTCCACACCTGCTTGTGTGAGCCTGGTGCTCAGCAAACTCTGGGCTGGAAGACACTTGGAGTTGTCTGCATGCAGGTCCCCACCTTAAGCCCTGGGTAGAGGTCAGGTCACCCAAGGACATTGGAGACAAAGCAAAGGACAGGAGGAACATGAACAGTCAAGGCACCAGGCCTTCCCCCACCTCCACCCACATAGGGATTCCTCCCCCAGGAGCACCCCCCCTAGGCCCCCAGTGCCTCCTAACTGCCTGTCTTTGGAGGGATTTTTTTTATTTATCCTAAGGTGCCACTAGACTTCTTTAAATACATATTTTTAATTGACTTCAGAGAGGAAGGGAGAGAGAAACATCAATGATGAGAGAAAATCATTGACCGGCTGCCTCCTGTACGCCCCACACTGGGGATCAAGCCCACCACAACCTGGGCATGTGCTCTGACTAGGAATCGAATCCTGACCTCCTGGTTCACAGGCCGATGCTCAACCACTGAGGCACACCGGCCGGCTGCAGAGGGGTTTTAACCAGGTTGGGATTGCGTTGGTCCCAGTCGCATGGCCTCCTTTTTTTCTGCCTGGGGCGAATTCAGATCCATCCCAGCCTAGCATGTTCTCCCCCTGCCACCCCCACCCCACTGATTGGCAACGCTGAGTGGAGCGTGGGACGTGCCCGGGCCCGTCCCGAGCTTCAATTACAGGGCAGGCAGATGAAAGGGCTCGCTGCTCTGTTCCCCTCCAGGAGCCTGTGACCGTCTCCCAGCTGGAGGGGAGGATTCCATCATCGGCTTACAAAGTGAAAGCTCGTGGGAATGCCCACAGCCACTGGACTGGAGCTTGGGGAGAAGGAACTTTGATTCTCTCTAATGAGTCTTCTGTCAAATTTGTGGGGTTCGTTCGCTATATCGTTGCTCACAGTTGCCGTGTATCACACCCTTGCTTTTCTTTTAGAAATTTTCACACGCACACAAAATCGACAGAATAGCTCTATGAACGGCCACTGTCCATGGCCCAGCTCCCTCAGTGCTCTGCCATCTTGCTTTACCCACTCTCTACCCTCTGCTCAATTCTTGTGTGTTTTGTTTTACTATATTTTAATTGATTTCAGAGAGCAAGGGAGAGGGGGAGAGAGAGAGAGAAACATCAATGATGAGAGAGACTCATTGATCGAACTGCCTCCTGCATGCCCCCCACTGGGGATCAGGCCTGCAACCCCAGCATGTGCCCTGACCGGGAATCGAACCCGGGACCATTCAGTCTGCAGGCCGATGCTCTAACCACTGAGCCAAACCAGGGAGGGTTTTATTAGTCTTTTTCAAGCACCAGCTTTTGGCTTTGTTCATTTTTTGCTTTGTTTTCCATTTTATTAATTCTTTATTTCCTGCCTTGTAATTTGTTTGGCTTGAAAATTCTACTGTGCTTGCCCTGGCTGGTGTGGCTCAGTTGGTTGGAGCATCATCTCATGCTCCAAAAGGTCGTGGGTTTGATTCCCGGTCAGGACATATATCCAGGTTTGCGGTTCGATCCCCAGCCCCAGTTGGGGGCATGTGCAGAAGGCAGCCAGCCGATCGATGTTTCTCACATCAATGTGTTTCTCTCTCTTTCTCTAAAAATCAATGAAAACGTCATCGGGTGAGAAATTTTTTTAAATTGTCCTATTTTCTAACTTCCTAAATTGAATGCTTAGCTCATTAGTTTCAAGCCATTTTTTTTTTTTTTTGCCAACATCAGCACTTAAGGCCACATCACACAAGTTTTGATATGTGCCACTTCCACCGCCATTTGGTTCCACTGAGTGGGAGTATTCAGGTTTTCTTCTTTAGCCTCAGAGCTGCCTGGACGTGGGCTCTCTGGTTGGGGTTTGGCTCCCCTTGCTTGCACTGAGGCCAGAGACCATGGCCTGTGTGATTGCAGGGTGGCCAGGCTGGTCGTGGTGCCTCCTGGCCAGCACAGGGTCCATCCACTTCAAGGTGGCTCCTGCGATACGTGGGTGCTACAGTAAAGGGCTAGCACAGGCTCTCATTCAAGCTCCTCTGACTACATTAAGGAGGAAGACAGGTATGCTTGTGGTTGAGTGCTGACCCTGAGTGAGTAACCGGGCTCAAAGTGGGGAGACACCCTAGGTCATGTCCCCAGCTTCTCCTTCTTTTAAAACATATATTTTTATTGATTTCAGAGAGGAAGGGAGAGGGAGAGAGAGAGAGAGAGAGAGAGAAACATCAGTGATGAGAGAGAATCATTGATCGGCTGCCTCCTGCACGCCCCTCCCACCTGGGATCGAGCCTACAACCCGGGCATGTGCTCTGACAGGGAATGGAACCTTGACCTCCTGGTTCATAGGTCAATGCTCAACCACTGAGCCATGCCAGCTGGGCTCCCCAGCTTCTCTTAACCATGCCTGTTCCCTCTGCCACAGGGTGACCTGGCCAAGAAGAAGATCTACCCCACCATCTGGTAAGCACCTCCTCCACTAATCCCACTGCCCTGAGCCTTCCTGGCCTTCCCCACCCCCCCCCCCACCCTGCCCACAGCCATGCTTTGCCCTCAGGTGGCTGTTCCGGGATGGCCTTCTGCCTGAAAACACCTTCATCGTGGGCTATGCCCGCTCTCGTCTCACGGTGGCTGACATCCGTAAGCAGAGCGAGCCCTTCTTCAAAGTGAGTAGCTTCTGAGATTTGTGAAGGGGTGCCCTTCCCTCCTCCCATTCCCGCTCTCTGCTTCTCCCCGGCCCCGAGGCCCAGCCCTCCTCTCCGTGTCCTGACAGGGTCAGGCCTTGTTAAGACAGTCACCTGGGGACCCTCATGCCCAAGCGTCCCATCCTTTCCCTCCTCAAAACCACCCACACCACTCTGCCAAGTTGGCACAGAAAACTCTGCCTTGCTGCTTCTGCCACTTCCTTGATGACAAGGAGGCGCGCTGGGTGGTGTGTAGGAACCCTACAAGCCTGAGACTTCTGTTTCCCAGCTCCCCCTCATGGGGACTCACTGTGCCCCAAGACCAGGAGCAGAAAAAGCCTCTAGACCAGGGGTGGGGAACGTGCGGGCTGAGGGCCGTATAAGGCCCACAAAATCCTTTGATCCAGCCCTGCCAAGGCATTAGGAGTGAATTAAATGTTTGACCAAATATAGCAAGCTAATTTTTTTAAAGGTCACTTATTTATTTATTTAGATGTTATTTCTCACCCAAGGATATTTTTTCCATTGATTTTTTTTTTATTTAACTTCTCTAGATTCCTTTTTATTTGTTTTATTGTTACTGATTTCAGAGAGGAAGAGAGAGAGAGAGAGAGAGAGAGAGAGAGAGAGAGAGAGAGAGAGAGAGAAACATCAATGATGAGAGTCATCGATTGGCTGCCTCCTGCACGCCCCCTAATGGGGATCAAGCCCACAACCCAGGCATGTGCCCTGTAGGGGAATCAAACCTGGGACCCTTCAGTCTGCAGGCAGACGCTCTATCCACTGAGCCAAACTGGCTAGGGCTCCATTGATTTTTAGAGAGAATGGATGGGAGTGGGAGAGACAGAGAGCGAGAACTTCAGTGTAAGAGAGACACATGGTTTGGTTGCCTTCTGCACGAGCCCCGACCAGGGCCAGGGATAGAGCCTAGCAGGCTAATTGTTAAGTGGATAATTTTGTATGGCCCTCAAATGATGTTGTAAGTATCCAAATGGCCCTTGGGAGAGGAAAGGTTCCCCACCCCTGCTCTAGACCGTGGAAATCCTAGATTTGCGTTTTCCCAACACACCCAAGTTTGGAGTAATGACTTTAGAAAGAGCGATCTTCCTCCAGTGTGTTTCTCCCAGGTCAAACTTTCCTGAAGTCTAACTTCTGTCTTAGAGCACAAGGTCCCCAGGGGTGACTGTCCCCATCCTGGCCCTTGCTTGGGACTGCGAAGCCCCATCTCCTGCAATGATCCATGCTGCCTTTGGCTCCCCTTCTGGTGTGCGAAGCTGACAAAATGGGGATGTGAACCTAGTGTGGGGTAGGCTGATTGACTCCCAGAGGAGCCTGCCCTGGCTGCGGGATGGGTGAGGAGGGGCTGACATCCCTGTGTCCGTCTCCCCCAGGCCACCCCCGAGGAGAAGGCCAGGCTGGAGGAGTTCTTTGCCCGCAACTCCTACGTGTCTGGCCAGTACGATCAAGCAGCCTCCTACGAGCACCTCAATGACCACATAAACACCCTCTGCCAGGGGTCACAGGCCAACCGCCTCTTCTACCTGGCCTTGCCCCCCACTGTCTATGAGGCCGTCACCAAGAACATCCGAGAGACCTGCATGAGCCAGACGTAAGGCTTGTCTTTTGCCCTTCCTTCCTGCCTTCTCCGTGTGCCCTACCTGGAACTGGCCTGCCCTGGCAGCTGTCCATAGACCCGGAGCACACTAGTCTAGGGCAGTGGTCGGCAAAATCACGAGCCACATGCGGCTCTTTGGCCCCTTGAGTGTGACTCTTCCACAAAATACCACATGCGGGCGCGCACGTACAGTGCGATTGAAACTTCGTGGCCCATGCGCAGAAGTCGGTTTTCGGAAAGGAGATAGACGAAACAAGTATACAAGTGTGGATGGGAGAGTTGGAAGGGGTCGATCTCAGTGAACGTACCTCAATCAGATTGCGGACGTTTTTAGCAAAGGCCAGCTTAGGAGTACCCTAATTAAGTTAATAACAATGTACCTACCTATATAGTTTAAGTTTAAAAAATTTGGCTCTCAAAAGAAATTTCAGTCGTTGTACTGTTGATATTTGACTCTGTTGACTGATGAGTTTGCCGACCACTGCTCTAGGGAGTCGCAAAAAGGCTCGACATGAATTAGCTCCACAAAGAATGGAATAGGCTGCAAACACGGTAGCTTTCCAACATTCTTACTGAAAATGCTACCACACGTATTTACATTCCAATGTCTCATGTGGACCCTCAAGGTTTATCTCACTAGAAATCCAACTTCCTGGACGCAATCCCCAATAGCACCACAAGGTGGCAGTATGGTTCCATGAAACTGCCCATTGCGGCTGCGTTGGTTTTTGGGCATTTCCCAAGGTTCCCTTCCCGATCACAAGGTGGCGGTGTTGCTCCACAAAATCCCGCTTCCTGGGCCTGGTCACTCCCTTGTTTTCCCAAAGCTACAGCCATCTCTTTCTTTGGCCTGGTTTTGAATACAGAATGCCATGTTAACTCTCAGTGGGGATTAACAAAGAAAGGGACTTTTTGCCATTTTAAAACCCACAGAGATAATTGTCCCCTCCCCCTGCCCCCCCACTAGCTGAGGTTCTGGCCACTGCTCCCCAGGGAGGGTGCGGGAGTCATGTGGCTCTGGGCTCCTGCAGGGGCTGGAACCGCATCATTGTAGAGAAGCCCTTTGGGAAGGACCTGCAGAGCTCCGACCGCCTGTCCAACCACATCTCCTCCCTGTTCTGTGAGGACCAGATCTACCGCATCGACCACTACCTGGGCAAGGAGATGGTCCAGAACCTGATGGTGCTGAGGTGCAGCTGGGGATAGGCCTGGGGGATGGGGTGAAGGGAGACTGGGTCCGGGACGGGCACTGGGGGGGGGGGGGTGCTTAGCCTGCCCTGTTGCTGCCCCATCGGATGCAGCACCAGCCTCTGCCCTGCCCCTCCTGCAGGTTTGCCAACAGGATCTTTGGCCCCATCTGGAACCGGGACAATGTCGCCTGCGTCATCCTCACCTTCAAGGAGCCCTTTGGTACTGAGGGCCGCGGGGGCTACTTCGATGAATTTGGGATCATCCGGTGAGAGCCCATCACCCCTTCCTAGGAGGCCTGAATGGGCATGGGGCTCAAGCCTGCCCCCCGGCAGGGTTCCTCTTCTCCACCCCAAAGTTCAAATTCTGCAGGAGTGATATCAGTCAGCAGTAGCTATGAACGGAGGGTCACTGCCTCCTTCCTTCCCTTGAGGGAACCAGGGAGACACTAAGGATTAGGAAAGGAACCTCGTAACTTGCGGCTCAGAGAAGGCCCACTTGAGCCCTGGCTGGTGTGACTCGGTTGGAGCATCGTCCCATATACCAAAAGGGCACGGGTTCAATTCCCAGTCAGGGTGCATACCCAGATTGTGGGTTTGATCGCCAGTCAGGGTGTGTACAGGAGGCAACCAATTGATGTTCCTCTCTCACATCTATGTTTCTCTCTCTCCTCTCTCCCTCCCTCCCTCCCTCTCTCTCTCTCTCAAAAAGAAAAAAAATCAGCCCTAGCTGGCTTGGCTCAGTGGATAGAGCGTCAGCCTGCGGACTGAAGGGTCCCAGGTTCGATTTCCGGCCAAGGGCACATGCCTGGGTTGCGGGCTCGATCCCCAGTTGGGGGTGTGCAGGAGGCAGCCAAACAATGATTCTCTCTCATCATTGATGTTTCTATTTCTCCTTCTCCCTTCCTCTCTGAAATCAATAAAGAAATATATTTTTTTAAAAAAAGAAAAGAAAAAAATCAGTAAAAACATATTCTCTGCCTAGCCGGTTTGGCTCAGTGGATAGAGCGTCAGCCTCCAGACTGAAGGATGTTGGGTTCAATTCCAGTCAAGGACACGTGCCTGGGTTTTGGTTTGCTCCCCAGTGTGGGGAGTGCAGGAGGCGGCCTATCAATGATTCTCTCTCATCATTGATGTTTCTTTCTCTCTCTCTCTCTCTCTCTCTCTCTCTCTCTCCCTCCCTCCCTCCCTCTCCCTCCCTCTCCCCCTCTCCCCCTCTCCCTTCCTCTCTGAAATCAATAAAAATATATTTTAAAATATATATGTGTGTGTGTAAAGATATATATATATATATATATATATATATATATATATATATATATATACATACATATATATATATATATCCATCCATGTCGTCTGGTGAGGATTAAAAACATAAAAATTCCCACTTGAAACTCCAGCCCCCAAAACCTGGCCCACAGGGAGGGGGCTGAGGCGGGCTCACTCCTCACACCTCCCTTCCCACCTGGAAGCCCTGACCAAGTTCCGCCTGCTTCCCTACCAGGGACGTGATGCAGAACCACCTGCTGCAGATGCTGTGTCTGGTGGCCATGGAGAAGCCAGCCTCCACGGACTCGGACGACGTCCGCAATGAGAAGGTGGGTGGAGGCACACCCTCCCGGTCCTCGCTGCCAGCTCTGATGAAGGCGTGCCCTGGGCTGGGAATCAGAAGACCAAGATGTCATGTTGCAGGACTAGCAGTGACTGCTGTGTGACCAAGGGCTGACCTATTGCCTAAGACTTAGCTTCTTCTTCAGAAAAAATGAGGGTTTTCTGGGGGCTCTGGGGTCATGTGGCTCATGCTATGCTCCATCTTTTTTTTTAAATACATTTTTATTGATTTCAGAGAGGAAGGGAGGGGAGAGAGAGATAGAAGCATCAACGATGAGACAGAATCATCGATTGGCTGCCTCCTGCATAGCCCACACTGGGGAGCAAGCCCATAACCCAGGCACATACCCTGACTGGGAATCAAACCATGACCTCCTGGTTCATAGGTCAACGCTCAACCACTGAGCCACACTGGCTGGGCTAGCTCCATCTTTTTACTCAAGGGACCCCTCTCTCCCTGCCTCTATCACAGGTCAAGGTGTTGAAATGCATCTCAGAGGCGCAGTTGAAAAATGTGGTGTTGGGCCAGTATGTGGGCAATCCCAAGGGAAAGGGCGAGGCCACCAAAGGGTACCTGGATGACCCCACGGTGCCCCGGGGATCCACCACTGCCACCTTCGCAGCTGTTGTCCTCTATGTGGAAAATGAGAGGTGGGATGGTGAGTAACATGTCCCCGCCTGGCGGGCAGGCTGGCAGCCCTCACAGAGCGCTTCTCCCCAGGGTCTGACCACTCAGGGACAGGGGACGCCAGAAGGGAAAGGGCCAACAGGGTGGGACCCGGCCGCCTCCCTACACAGGGCCACGCACACGCCTTTGCTCTGAGCACACACCCTGTCGCACACCCGCTCCCTGTCACACACACGGCACCGGCCTGGGCTGCGGCAGAGCCAGCCCTGAGGCAGCCTCGCACCCACCCAGGGGTGCCCTTCATCCTGCGCTGCGGCAAAGCCCTGAACGAGCGCAAGGCCGAGGTGCGCCTGCAGTTCCGCGACGTGGCCGGCGACATCTTCCAGCAGCAGTGCAAGCGCAACGAGCTGGTGATCCGCGTGCAGCCCAACGAGGCCGTGTACACCAAGATGATGACCAAGAAGCCCGGCATGTTCTTCAACCCTGAGGAGTCCGAGCTGGACCTCACCTACGGCAACAGATACAAGGTGGGCACACAGCCTGGCGGGGGTTGCCCAGCCCTGGGGGGCACCGAACCCTGGGGGGGCTGGGGGCACGTGGGTAGCCTCAGTGACACCCTCTCCTACAGAACGTGAAGCTCCCCGATGCCTATGAGCGCCTCATCCTGGACGTGTTCTGTGGGAGCCAGATGCACTTTGTGCGCAGGTGAGGGGGTTCCCGTGCTTCTGTGTGCCGGGGGTCTGGGCTCCAGGCGGTGGGCACAGCCTGCACCCGCCCTTTCCCCCACGTCCCCCCAAAGACACACGTGTATCCCCTCAGTGACGAGCTGCGGGAGGCCTGGCGGATCTTCACGCCGCTGCTGCACCAGATCGAGCGCGAGAAGCCGCAGCCCATCCCCTACGTTTACGGCAGGTGAGGAGCAGACAGGGCGGGGGCAACGGAAGAGGACCCTGGAGCTTGGGGGGGACACTCATGTCTCCCCTCTGCCCATCTCTCTCAGCCGAGGTCCAGCGGAAGCAGATGAGCTGATGAAGAGAGTGGGCTTCCAGTATGAGGGCACTTACAAGTGGGTGAACCCCCACAAGCTCTGAGCCCTGGGCCCCTCCCCACCCCCTGTTGGTTTCTGCCCTTCCCACCTCCCCACCGCCTGACCCCACATCGGGAGGACTTCGGGACCATAGGCCTCAGCTTCACATTCCCGGCCTCGGGCCCAGCTACATTCCTCAACCACCGACACTCGCGCTGTGACCATCCCTGGCCACCACTGGCCCCGCCTGAGCCAGCCTCTGTCTACAGGACTGAGCCCGAACGGAAGGAAGAAGAATGGCCCTTCCGTTTGTCCCAGGCTCCTCCTAGGACAGGAGTCAGTGACGAGGGGGAGGATCAGTGGGTGGGCCTCACTGGGCCAGTGGCCGGCCGACCCCTCCACTGCCTGTGGGCAGGCTCCTCAGAGCCCGGGGAAGGGCGCCAGCGTGGCCATACCAGCCTCAGGGCCACTCTACATTCCTCATCACCCGCTGGAGGGGACTCCATGCTGCCCAGCAGTCGCCCATGTTTTGGGCCCCCTGACCGTCCCTGTGCCCTGCCAGGCAAACTGCACTCCATGGCCCACCCCCATAGGTGCCCCTCTTGCTACTAGAAAAGCAGAAGCAGCAGGTGGGATGCCCCACCTCCGCCCTTCCCATTAAATCCACGAACACACCTGTCCCCTGGCTGTTTCCTTTCTGCCTCCTGTGACCACGAGGCCAGTCCACCTGGTGGGGGCCTCTGGCTCCCTGCCTTTCTCGGGACCCAGCCCTCACCCCCTCCCTGTCAGCCACTTCCCTCTACTGGCTGGTCCAGGAACCTGAGTGTCCTTCACCTCTGCCCCCTGTGTCCCTTCGTGACCCCTTCCTGCATCCCAGTACCCCCAGAGTCCCCCTCACCTCTGTGCCTTCACCCTGTCCCACTCCACAGGACACAAGGATAGAGCGAGTCCTTTCCACCTGAATGCTTCCGTGAGCGTGCTGCCCACACGGACCTGCACCCTGAGTGTTCCTGCCCGGCCAGGTCACTGCAGGGACTCCATGAGGGCCGTTGGCACATTGCCAGTCCATGGAAGTAAGAAGGATTTAGGAAGGAAAGGCAGCAAGGCTTGTGACTAACATTGGAGGCCAAGAGGGAGGAGGTAGTCCAGGGAGGCGCCACAGCCTGGCCACTCTGAGGCAGACAGCTGGGGTCCTGAGGTCATGGAGGCTCCGCTTGTGTTTGTTCCCCAGGGCCACCGTAACAAGCATGCACTGGGGGCTTATAACTTACTTATCCCGTCACAATCCTGGAGGCCAAAAGTCTGAAATCCAGGAGTGGGCAAGGCTGCACTGCCTCCAAGCTAGGGGAGGGACCTTCCTTGTCTCTTCCAACTTCTGCTGGTGGCGAGCATTCCTCGGCTTGTAGGCACATCCTCGTCTGCCTTCATCTTCATGTAGCCCTCTTGCTGTGTGTATCTCTCTCCTGTTTTCTTAAACTTACCTTGACTACCTCTGCAGACACACTATTTTCAAATAAGGTGGCATTCCAAAGTTCCAGGGAGACACGGATTTGGGGGGCACACTGTTCAACCCAGTATGCTCGAAACAAAGGCAGCACCCCTTGTGTGGCTGTCTCCCCTCCTCCCCAGCTCCTAAGCTGAGCACTGGAAAGATGGCAGGAACCAGCACTGTGGTCCCTGCATTCATAGGCCTGGGTTCCTTTAGGTGCAGCCAACCAGAAACAAAAGGAACAGATAAAATGATCAGATGGCCCTGGCCAGTGTGGCTCAATGGTTAGATCATTGGCTCTATTCCCAGTCAAGGGCACATACCTAGGTTGCAGGTTTGATCCTGTGTCTCACATCAATGTTTCTCTCCCTGCCCCCTCCCTTCCACCCTAAAAAAATCAATGGAAAAAATGTCCTCCAGTGAGGATTAGCAACGACAAAATGATCAGATGGTGGGTAGTACATTTTCTGGAGGGAAGAAACCAGCAACCCAGAAAATGACCAGGGGAGGAAAGCTCCAGTCCCAGGGAGGTAAGAACACATCCTGAGGCCCTGCCACTGACAGGGCTAGGGTTCCAGGATGGGGAAGGCCCTCAAGCTGTTAGCAAGAACATGACCACCACAAATCCTCCCTCCAGCTTGGCCTGTGCTCCCTCTGTCCCCCACCCCTGCTTGGGAAGCAATTGCCTGGGGCTCTTTCCTCCCACCATCCTTGGTCTGCCATTGAAAGCCAACTTCTTACTCCTGCACAGTCCCCCTGGGCTGGGATGGCAGCAGTTGGGAATCCCGTGCAGTTTGACAGGTGGAGCGCCAGGTAGGAGGGATGAGCTGAGGCTCTGCTTAGGTCTCTGCGGAAGCAATATATAGAGGAAGAAATTCAAATTGTGGATCAGCCTATTGCCATCCCATAAGCGAGGACGGCGCGTCACCCCACACGTACACAGCATATACAAACCATCTCTGGGCACCATTCATTCTCTCCCCATCTCCATCTCACCATGGGCGGCGGCACCTCCAGGACGTGGGAGCAGGGAGAGAAGTTCACCTGGACCCCATTGAATAGGGAAAGGAGCTTTATGGGACAGGGACAGGTCACAGACCCTTAAGTAAGGTGGCTTTTCAAAGCTGAGTGTGGATCGTCAGGTCCACGCAGAGCACCTGAGAAGGCTCCATGTGGACAGGATTGGGGGCCAGGCTTTGGCCAGGTGCCGTGGCCTTGGTCCTCACCCCTGCGCCCTGGAAAAGGGACAATGGGCCATCCTAGGGACTCAGGCTCCCTGTAACCCTTTGGCTCCGGTGTGGCTACAGAGGGTCTTACCCTTGACTCTGAGGTGCAGTCACGTGGCCACGATGGGGGTAGAGGAGGCTTTGCAAAAGGCCCAGGATGGCACAAAGAGCAATACACCCCCAGATGGTGACCTGAATGGTGCAGAGCCAATCCCTGAAGACGCAGCCACGCCTTCCCCCTGCTTACCACCAGAGGGCGCTGTCAGCCCTGCCGGCTCGCGGAAAATCCCCACCCGCCCTAGCCTGGACTCCTGAAACCCAAATCCTCAAAATACAGACCTGAGGACGTCAAAGCCTTGGGGGCAAAAGCAGATAAGCAAAGGTTCAGGGGCCCTTCCAAACCCCGCGGGGGTCTTCGTACTCAGAGCCCTTTCACAGAGCCCCCCCAAAAAACTTTACAGACTTTAAGGGGCCTAGCAGATCTGTGTGCTAGGGGTCGTCCTTCCCAGGGGAAGGTGCTGGCATGGCATCACCGAGGGGGCCCCTCCAAGAAGTGTGGGAGGATCCGAGTAGGGGCAGCAGCAGGGGCCATGGAGGGGCCCCCCAGCTCCTCCCAGGCCCCCAGCACATGGTGACCGTGTGTGAGCAGGGAGGAGGGGCTGGGGACCTCCCCGTCTGATCCTGCCCTGGGTGTATCTGCTATGGCATAGATCTGGGTGCTACACTGAGGCATAGATGTGAGGACCCTGGGGAGGACACCCAAGTGTCACCTGACCCCTGGGTGCCTATGAGGAAGAAATAGGTAAAAGTGCTGATGGGGACAGCCAGCTGTCATGTCAGCTCTGGGAGCCTGCAATGGGGAAGAGGCATGAGGTCCCCGGTAGAGACATTCAGCTGTTACCTCCGGTCCGGGTACCTACAATGAGGCACAAGCATGAGGGATCAGGTGATGGCAGTCACTTGTCACCTCATCTCTGGGTTAATACATTCCAACACAGACCTTAGGGCCTCACTGAACTGAGTCAAATGTCACCTCAGCTCTGGGGCCCTACAATGTAGAACAGAGGTGACAGACCTGGTGAGGAGAGGCGTCTGACATACCTGTGTGCTTACACTGGAACAGATGTGATAGCTCTTGGGTGAGGAAAGACACCTGTCACCTCAGCTCTGGGTGGCAACATTGGTGCTGAGGTACAAGGCTTGCAACTGGCACCGAATCTGTACACTGGGACCAAGCAGAAGGGCCATGTGAGGACAGCCAACAGCTCCCTCAGCTCTGGTACTGGGGTTGAGGCATGGCATTGATTGGGTCCAGGTTTTGACATTCAACTAACATTTAACTTCTAGATGCCTAGACTATAGCGGGGCTTAAGGGCTCATGAGTGGAGTCACCTTTCACATCAGGTTTTTGTGTGTGGGGGGGGGGGTCTTTAATTGAGAGAGAGGAAGGGAGGGAGGGGTGAGGAAACAGATTGTTATTCCACCCATTTAGGCACTCATTGGTTGCTTCTTGTATGTGGCCTAACTGAAGATTGAACCCACAGCATTGGCATACTGGGAGGGCCCTGTAACCAACCGAGCTACCCAGCCAGGGCTCACATCAGCTCTTTTTTTATGTGTTCTTAAAAACACACACACACACACAACATTTTTTATTTCAGAGAGGAAGGGAGAAGGAGAGAGCGATAGAAACATCAATGATGAGAGAGAATCACTGATCAGCTGCCTCCTGCATGCCCCCCACTGAGAATCCAGCCCCTAACCCAGGCATGTGCCCTGACCAGGAATGGAACCGTGACCCTCTGGTTCATGGGTAGATGCTCAACCACTGAGCCACACCAGCTGGGCTCACATCAGCTCTTGATGCCTAACCTGTGGTAGAGGTATGAGGGACAGATGAGGGTATTCAGTGTTACCTCAGATCTGAGTCCCTACCCTGAGGCACAGCATGAGGACCCAAGACACAACACAAGTCAGTGATGAGAGCTACACTGGGGCAGACATAAGGGCACTCAAATGTCACCTCAGCTCTATGTAGCTACACAAGTCAGAGATATGAGGGCCCAGGTGACAGCATCAACAGAAAGCCCAGATACGCATATTTACGGCAGAAAGGAGAATGGAGGGACTAGGTAGAGACATAAGGGCCCAATGGGACCCCCAACTATCAGTTCACACTGGGTGCTCACACATGAGGGCCCGGGTGGAGACAGTCAAAGTCAACAGAGGGACAGCCAACACAGCAGAGGGGAATGAGGGACCATTGAGGTGATTCGACTGTCACTTCAGCTTCGGGTGCCAAGTCTGGGGCAGAGGCAGTAGGTACCTGCACCGAGGCAGAAGCACACGAGCACACATGACTGTCATCAACTGACAACGGAACCATCGGTGTCCACACTGAGAGGGAAAGAGGGGTCTGTTGATGGTATCAACTGGCACATGAGGACCCAAGACAAAATAGTCAACTGGCACCTCAGCTATGGGAGCTACGCTGGGACCCAAGCAAGAGGGCCCAGAGGAGACATTCTCTGCCACCTCATGCGATTGCCTGTACCGGGTCACGGACATGAGTGCCTGTGACACGAGGGTCTATTCCTCTCTGCATTCCCATCGTAAAACAGTCACAGAGAAAAGTAAGGACGCACACAAAGCTGTGAGCAAGATGACAACAATGTCCCCTAAGAACGACCTTCCTGGCAGATGCCCCAAGCCTGGCTGGCAGCCCAGGAGTGTGAATGACTGAGAGCTCCCTCTAGGGGACATCACAACTATGAGCGTTGCAGGAGAGACCAGTGAGGAAGGCATGGTGCCCCAGGTTCAATGCCCACAAATATGGGAGGGTTTGGCACATGGTCACCATTATCTCCAAGACCAAACTCCACAACAAAATCCAAATACTAAAAAAAAAAAAAATCTAAATACTAACCCGCGACTGCAGCAGCAGGGTCCTGAAACTACCTTGATCTTTTTTTTTTTTTTTAAATACACCTTTATGATTTCAGAGAGGAAGGAAGAGAGATAGTGTGGGAAACTGATATAGGGTTAAGCCTCTGACTGACCTGCTGGCAAAGTCACAAACAAGTCCTAGCTTAGAGGGCACAGTCCTCTTAGCATAATTAGGCTTGACCTTATAACACTCCCTAGATCTTATCTGGGAATCTAATGGGCTGAGGAAGTGCAGGAAGTATAACCATGGTGTAAACAAGTGAAACTCACAAGAAAAGTGTAACTTTGGTAACCACTACCTTGTTTACCCCTCACTATAAAAAGCTTGGTGAGGCCTGAGCACAGTGGAAGTCCTTCCTCTTGAGTTGGACTTGCCTGCCTGGTCCCCCAATATTCCCAAATTACCTCCTGTCTTTTCTTTTTCATTTGTTGTGCGGCTCCTCTTCCAGACCCGAACCCTGAACCACGCAGGACGTGGAGGGAAACACTTACGACAGATAGAAACATCAATGATGAGAGAATCATTGATCGGCTGCCTCCTGCTGGGGATCCCTTACTGGGGATCAAGCCCACAACTCAGGCATGTGACCTTGACCTGAATTGAACCTGGGACCCTTCAGTCTGCAGGCTGACGCTCTATCCACTGAACCAAATCAGCTAGGGTTACCTTGATCTTGTTAGGGAGAAGAGAGAGGGTGATGTGTATGCTAGTGTAGAAGCTACTGGATTCTAACCAGAGATCTGGCACTGCCTAGCTGTATAAGCTTTCTCTGCATTTTGGAACGTCAGCTTCCCCGTAGTGAAGTCATGGGGTCAAAGAGCACGGATGTTTCTGTGGTTCCCATGCCACCCTGCTGCCCTCCAGAAGGAGTCCCGCTGACAGGGGTGGGCCCAGCTCTCCCAGTGCAGTGGGTGATCAGGTACACTGGGTGGTGTCAGGGACGCCCTCCTGAGAGAGGCTAGAGGAGCAGGTATTCTCCCCTCCCATCATCAGAACGACATGGAAGACGGGGTGAACGCGCTGCCATCTAGAAATCAGACTGCGAGGAAAGGCATCAAAAGGCTGAGCCTCCTAGTCTCTGGTTCGTCGCATTCTGGTGTTTTCTCCTGCATCTTCTTCTGTACCTCCGTGTTTCTAAAAGGCACATATATCCACTTTAAAACAATTTCTAATTACGCTCCCGGATCCATCCGCCTCTCTCTAGGCCTCAGAAATCCGACCGCAGGGCGCCGGCGTAACCCCAGCACTCTAAGCCTGGGAAGCTGGAATCTCCCCGCGAACTGGCCTCCCACCGGAGACTTCTGGGGCGGGGCATACGTGGACAGGGGCGGGGCCGGATAGGGATCCTCCCATTTGGCGACCAGTCAGCTCTTCCCAAGCACACGTCAGAGGCGGGCCGTTCTCACCCGGCGGCTGGAGCAAATGGAGGAGGAGGCCTGTGGGCGGGGCTTCTCCGGCCCGGGGCGGGGCCTCCGCTGCTTTCCACTCCCACCCCCCACCTGGCTGCGGAGCGGCAAAGCCCTCGCCCCAGGCGGGGGTGGTGCCTGCGGGCTGTGGCCCCGCCCCGGGCCGCCATTGCAAGGCCTTGTGGGGCTGTGTGTCCTCTGCTCTCGCTCTCTCCTTCCTTTGCCGAGCAAGGCGGTGCGGCCGGCCTGACAGGGTCACCCCCGACCGAGGTCGCATCTCCCCACAGCTAGGCAAGTCTCCGGCCGGCCCAGCCCCCATCGCAGGCTCCCGGGCCCGGAGGGGCGGCCTGAGCTCGGGGCCTCCCAGGGGAGGGGCCTGCGTCCGAGAGAACCACTTTCATTTCCCAGCCCCAGAGGGCTCCGCAGGCACGATCGACCTCGAGCCAACGCGTTTCCGAGACCCCCTCCTGTCCCGACAGGGCTTCTCTCCGCGTTCCCCGGAGCCTGGCCAGGTGGATGAACAAGTCCGTGCACCGATCGCGCCCGTCCCGCCGCAGGGGCCCAGCTCTGCCTCATCCCTGACCCCCACCCAAACCTGCTCTTCTGCTTTGTTGCCTCCAGAGCGCACGGTCCCCAAACAGTTCACCTGCCGGCGGCCCCAACCCAGCGGGAGACGTGGACATGAGGTTGGCAGGTGGGTGGCTTCCACAGTGAACAGGAGGAAGTTGGAAAGGAGACCCGGCTGGCCCAGGTGTCCAGGGGACTGCAGCCGGAGGGGCCCAGGTGGACCACGGGGTTTGCTTTTGCAAACGGAGGACTATGCACAAACATTCATTCCAGGACCTTGAACAAATCCTTTCACTTGCTAGCATTTCAGCTCCCCGAGCTGTGAGATGAGGATTAGGGTAGTGAATTTCTACCACCTCGGGCAACTGGTTGCTGTTCGGAAAACAAGTTGTGGGAGAGAGGCTCCAGGGAGCACGGAGACTGGGTGGAGAGGTAGTGGTCTTAAAGGAGAAACTGACCCAAGTGGCTGTGGGGTTGAATATGAATCTCTAGTGCTAGCCCTGCTGTCGGCTGGATAACGAAGGATGAACGTGGATTAGGGAGGGACAGCTTGGGGGATGGAAAGCAGAACTCAAGAATTAGAGTTCATACCTGGTAAGGTTGCAACATTATGAATGCATTCCGGTGGAGCGAGCCAGTGGGGAACTGGCTGGGAGGGTGTAGCCTCAAGGCTTGGGCAAAAGAAATAGGGTGCCACTGCCCCCTGGGGGGGTGATTCAAGGCGGGGAGTAGGTGAGAGCACCTATAAGGAGGGTAGAGGAAGAAGAGTAGAATAGGCAGAGAAGACAGCCTATCCCTTCCAGCAGGGAATTGTTTTCAGCAGGAGGGCCTGGGCAGTCAACTGAGAAGTCCAGAAAGATCAGGGCTGACAAGTGACCCGGGGAGTTGACACCAAGAATGTCATAGGTGGCCTTGGAAACAAGTTGGGTTTTGTTGTTGTTGTTGTGGGTGTTGTTTTTAATATATTTTTTATTGATTTCTGAGAGAGGAAGGGAGAGGGAGAGAGAGAAACATCGATGAGAGGGAGTCATTGATCAGCTGCCTCCTGCACGCCCCACACTGGGGATCGAGTCCACAACCCGAGCATGTGCCCTGATCGGGAATCAAACCGTGACCTCCTGGTTCATAGGTGGATGCTCAACCACTGAGCCACACCAGCTGAGCTTTTTTTTTGTTTGTTTTTGTTAATCCTCACCCAAGGATATTTTTTATAGTGGAAGGGAGGGATGGGGGGAGGGAGAGAGAGAGAGACATCAATTGGTTGCCTTTCTCCCCCACGCACCCCAACCAGGGCCAGGGATCAAGCCTGCAACCGAGGCACACACTCTTGATTGAAATCGAACCCAGGACCTTTCAGTCCGCGGGCTGATGCTCTAACTACTGAGAAAAACCGGCTAGGGCAGGAGGAGAGATGTTGAAAACAGAAGAGAAAGACAGAGATGGGATGATTGCTGTTACAAGAAACCTGAGCAGGGCCCTAGCCAGTGTGGCGCAGTGGATAGAGCGTCGGCCTGTGGACTGAAGGGTCCCGGGTTTGATTCTGGTCAAGGGCACATGCCTGGGTTGCAGGCTCAATCCCCAGTTGGGGGCGTGCAGGAGCCAGCCGATCTATGATTCTCTCTCATCATTGATGGTTCTATCTCTCTTTCCCCCTCCCTTCCTCTCTGAAATCAATTTTTTAAAATATATTTTACTGATTTTTTACAGAGAGGAAGGGAGAGGGATAGAGAGTTAGAAACATTGATGACAGAGAAACATCGATCAGCTGCCTCCTGCACACCCCCTACTGGAGATGTGCCCGAAACCAAGGTACATGCCCTTGACCGGAATCGAACCTGGGACCTTTCAGTCTGCAGGCCGACGCTCTATCCACTGAGCCAAACCGGTTAGGGCGAAATCAATTTTTAAAAAATTAAAAGAACAAAACAAGAAACCTGAACAGGGAGGAGAGCTAGGGATCCACGTCACAGCAGGTGAAGGGACTGGTCTTCAAAAGGACTAGGGACCTCCTCCTCCATCACAACAGGAGAAAAACAGGATGTGATGGGTGGATCACAAATACCCGCAGCCTCAGGCAGGAGGGTGGGTGCTCCTGGGGGAGTGTGAGAGCCCTCTTGAGCAGCGAGTTCTGGAAGGCCCCAGCACCTGCCCCGGGGGAAACCAAGCTGAGAGCGTTGGAGCTGCCGCCCTCCGGCCGGGGCCGGCCTCCTGTCCTCCAGTCACTTCATCCCAAGTGGATGGGGAGATCTGGTTGCGAGAGGCCCTGGGACCATTTGGAGCTCACTGGCATCTGAGGTGGCCTTGCCTTGTCTGTCCTGCCTCCAGGCCCCCTCCGCATCGTGGCCCTGATTGTGACCGTGGCTCTCACCTGGATCATAGTCAGCATCTTCCTGGGTGGGCCTGGTAGTGGCTTCTCTCGCATCCAGCAACTCTTCATCAGTGAGTGTGGGACTCTTCCTTGCCTGGCTACAGAGGTCCCCATGGTGGCCACCTGGGCCCGTGGGCTGAGGCTCAGGCTGGGGGCGGGAGGGCCCTGGATTTCCTTTCTCTTCCTCCGTCTGTCTCCTGGCATCCAGCACAGCCTTCTGGTTGGGAGGTTGCTTGGGCTGAGCAGCAAATCCCCGCTGATTAGTTCTGAGCCCAGTTGGAGTGGGCGGGGCTTGAGTAAGGGGCAGAGGGACTTCCGCTGAACATTGGGGATGACTCCCTGGTTGCTCCCTGCCGACCTTCTGCTGAGCTCTGAGATTAGGAGGGGACTCTACACCTTATCTCTAGTGACCTAAGTACTTTGTACAATTCCAACTTACCCTTTTCCTGGAGCAGGGAGCTTTGCATATGAACATCATTTAGACTTGAGCAAGAACATGCCAAGATCAGCCTGGCTTAGCCCTTGGCCTCTGAGCCTGTTACTCCACCACCTTGACTGCATGGTATGGGGCCAGGCTGCCCTGCTGCAGGCCAGGAGGCCTCCGCACTAACAGAAACAACTCCCTCCCCACAGGCCCAGAGAACTCAGTGACAGCAGGTAAGGCTCCTGTTACCTCCCTGCCCCTCTTCTGGGCCTGCCCCTCCTCCTACTTATGTGACACCCTGCCTGCCCCCAGCTCTCCAGGGTTTCTGGTTTCCACTTATCTCTCCCCAAACTGGCCAGTACAGCCCGCTGAGCCGCTTGCATGCCGTCAACCTAGGAAACAAGTTCCCTGCTTCCAGAATACACTGGTGGGACAGGAATAGGATAGAAATTTCCATTCCAGCCTGGCCAGTGTGGCTCAGTGGTTGAGCATCGACCTATGAACCAGGAGGTCACAGTTCGATTCCTGGTCAGGACTCCATCCCTAGTAGGCGACCTGCAGGAGGCAGCTGATCAATGATTCTCTCTCTCATCATTGATATTTCTTTTTTTTAAATATCTTTTTATTGATTTTTTTACAGAGAGGAATGGAGAGGGATAGAGAGTTAGAAACATCGATGAGCGAGAAACATCCATCAGCTGCCTCCTGCACACCCCCCACTGGGGATGTGCCTGCAACCAAGATACATGCCCTTGACCAGAATCAAACCTGGGACCCTTCAGTCCCCAGACCGACACTCTATCCAGTGAGCCAAACCAGCTAGGGCACGTCATTGATATTTCTATCTCTCACACTCTCCTTTCCTCTGTGAAATCAATAAAAAATCAATTTTTTTTGAGGGGGGGGACATAAATGTGTTTATTGGCAAGGTATAAAACCAATCCAGGAAAATAAAATTACCAGTTTAATAAAATGATTGCACACATTCTTTAAAAAATTATTCTTACTCATTGACTTGGAAATGATTTCAAATCTATAGAAAATTGGAAAAAATTAGGACAAAGAATATTGTACCCAGCTTCACCTTTTGTTAATATTCTGCTGCTTTATTAAAAATATATTTTTAAAATATCTCTTATGGGGACACAATACAGCCTGTGACAGAGGTTGTCCTTCTGTCCTTCCACCTCTGCCCCATGGGAATCAAGTGCTTTCTCTCTTTGTTCAAAAAACGTATTTTTGTTGATTTCAGAGAAGAAGGGAGAGGGAGAGAGAGATAGAAAATCAGATGAGAGACATCGATGTTTCTGACTCTCTATCTCTCTCCCTTCCTCTCTGTAAAAAATCAATAAAATATATTTAAAAAAAAAAAAAAAGAAAGAAAATCAGATGAGAGAATCATTGATAGGATGCCTCCTGCACGCCCCACACTGGGGATCGAGCCCGAAACCCGGGCATGGGCCCTGACCAGGAATCAAATCATGACCCCCTGGTTCATAGGTTGACGCTCAACCAGTGAGCCACGCCGCTCTCTCAGTTACTGCTCTCCTTCAGTCTGTTCTGGCCGTACGCGCATCTGTACATTTGCCCTCCCAGCTGCTGCTACTTTCTCTTCTCCGATCAGTGGCAGAAAAGCCGCCCTAGGGGTCCCTGTCACCTTGCCTGCGGCCCAGGGGATACAGAATGCCTGGAGGTGTTCCTGGCCTGAGCCATGTCCTCTCCCCGAACTGGCCCCCTGCTCAATCATCAGTCATTCCTCCCTATGGGCCGGTCCTGACCACCCTCCCTCAGACTTCGGATGACCCAGGGCCAGGCCCATGGGTCACCCCTACTGTCCCTGCCCAGAGCCGCGGGCCAGGAAGTACAAGTGCGGCCTGCCCCAGCCATGTCCTGAGGAGCACCTGGCCTTCCGCATGGTCAGCGGGGCTGCCAATGTCATCGGACCCAAGATCTGCCTGGAGGACAAGATGTGAGTTCCTTGGGGTGTAGGGGGGGGGCGGGGGCGGGGGAGGGAATGGGTGATCGGAAGCTGGGCCTGTAAGGTCAGGAGAGTGGAGCAGACGTGCCACTTGAGGGCTGTCCCCTTGCTAGGCTCATGAGCAGTGTGAAGGACAACGTGGGTCGAGGACTGAACATTGCCCTGGTGAATGGTAAGTTCCCTCGGATGTGGGGTCAGAGTTTGGTTGAGGAAAGGGGAACCCTGCTGTGCTGTGACCTTCCCCACCCCCTCCCCTTCCCGCCCTTCCCCTCCCCTCCGAATTCCCAAGGAGGCGGGGCAGGGGTTTGTGCTAGCTGAAGGGTCCACAGAAGTGACTCAATGAACAAAAGCATGGTGGCAGTAGAGCCCTGCCAGTGTGGCCCAGAGGTTGAGTAGTCAACCCATGAACCAGGAGATCACGGCTCAATTTCGATTCCCGGTCAGGGCATATGCCCTGGTTGCAGAATCGATCCCCAGTGGGGGGCATGCAGGAGGCAAGCTGATCATGGATTCTCATCATTGATGTTTCTATCTCTCTCTCCCTCTCTGAAATCAAGAAAAAATATATGTATTTATTTTTTAAAAGGATGATAGTAGGAAAGAATTAGGAGTTTCCAGGAATTTGAAGGGCACACCTGGAGGGCCTCAAATGCCAGGCAGAAGCTTTGCAGCCTTGGATGGGCCGCCGCTGTCTGAATAAGGGGCATAGTTGGCAGGAATATGGGGGCATATATATTTTTTGCTTTTTTAAAAAAGTGTTTCCCTCTATTGATTTTTGAGAGAGATAGAAAGGGAGAGGGATATATAGAGAGAAACATCATCAATCGACTGCCTCCTGCACGCCTCCTACTGGTGATCGAGCCCACAACCCGGGCATGTGCCCTGACCAAGAATCTAAATCAAACCATGACCTCCTGGTTCATGGGTCAACATTCAACCACTGAGCCACACCAGCCAGACTGATATGGGGGGATATTTGAAGAGGTTCTAGAAGGGTTGCACCCAGTGACCATGCCATGTGGTGAGCCTAGTCTGGGAGGACTGAGGTGGTAGGGTGGGTTTGCCCTGCTGGCTTGCCCAGGAAGACCCCATCCTCCCTGTTGATCCAGGGGTCAGCGGTGAGCTCATCGAGGCCCGGGCCTTCGACATGTGGGCAGGAGGTGAGTGGCCACCTGGCCCCCCAGTTTTGACTGTGCGGCAGAATGACTGGGTGTCCTTCCCCTAACCAGTGGTTCTCAACCTTCTGGCCCTTTAAATACAGTTCCTCATGTTGTGACCCAACCACAAAATTATTTTCCTGGCTACTTCATAACTGTCATGTTGCTACTGTTATGCATCATAATGTAAATATCTGATATGCAGGATGGTCTCAGGTGACCCCTGTGAAAGGGTCGTTCAGCCGCCAAAGGGGTCGCAACCCACAGGTTGAGAACCACTGCAAACACTGCCCTTCCTCTGGCCATTCGCTGGGGGCTTCTCGAGCACTTCCTTGGGTTCGGAAAAGGCAGGGGCAGGGACAGGTGTGTGGCCATGGGGAGTGCCCTGGCTTCGTATACCAGTTTGTTCCTGTCACCCTTAGTGGGGTGTGTCCCTGGCCTGATCCCTACTTTTAAGTGTCCTCATTCGGAGAATAGGGGTTAGTGGGGGAGGGAAGCCCAGTGGTGCCTGATGCTCCGTGTTCCATGGGATCTGTGCCCCCAGATGTCAACGATCTTCTGAAGTTTATTCGGCCACTGCATGAAGGCACCCTGGTGTTTGTGGCATCTTACGACGACCCCGCCACCAAGTAAGTGCTTGCCCGGGCCAGCCTCAGCCTTGCCCTCCTATGGCGACCACTCACACCTTCTCCTTCTGTGCGGCAGGATGAACGAAGAGACCAGGAAGCTTTTCAGCGATTTGGGCAGCAAGAATGTCAAGGACCTAGCCTTCCGGGACAGCTGGGTGTTTGTGGGGGCCAAGGGTGTGCAGAACAAGAGCCCCTTTGAGCAGGTACGGGGCGGTGGGGGAGGCTGGCAACTCCACTTCCCAGACCAGGGAGCTGGCCCGGGCTTTCTGCCTGCATCTCATGAGGTCCCCCTTTGTTCATGCTGTAGCCTTCCCTAAATCCTGTCCCTACACCCCTACCCGAGGCAACTCTGGCCCCCTCCTGTATGGATTTTACCCTAAAGGGTCTTTACTTTTATTTTTTCAAGTATTAATTTCTTGAAATTTTTTTATTTATTTCCGAGAGGAAGGGAGAGGGAGAGAGAGATAGAACCATCAATGAAGAGAATCACTGATGGGCTGCCTCCTGCATGCCCCCCACCTGGGACCGAGCCCGCAACCCGGGCATGTGCCCTGACCGGGAATTGCACCATGACCTCCTGGTTCATAGGTCGATGCCCAACCACTGAGCCCACCGGCCAGGCCCTAAAGGGTCTCCGAGTGTTACACACTGGCAACACTCACAAGTAAGAAACTCGCCTCCTAAACACTTCAAGATGCTTGGTCCTCCCATCCTCCCGAAACCCAATACCCAGATTCACGCTGCATGCCCTTCTGCACCAGCCTGGCTGCTGTCTGGCTCACGGCTCCTCTGGGGTCACCCGTGTCAGGCCCCATGCGAGGGGCTGGGAAGCCCCAGGTGCCATCCTCATTGCTGGGAAGCTCCCCGTTCTGTGAAAGCCATGGTGTCCCCAAGCCCTGCTCCCCACAGCAGGACTAAAGAAATAGCCTCCACTGATTTCTGGAAGCTTCTGGTTACCAAAAGAGCAGCTTAACAGCCCCCCCCCCCCCCCCGCGAGAAGAAACACTCCCTGTGAGCTTGCTCTTCCTATAACTTCCAGCAGCTCCTGTGGGCTGGGCAGAGACAGGCATACAGACAGACCCCTTCCTTCCCTCCCCAGCGTGTGCCAGGCCCACAGAGGCGCAGAGGAGTTGGCCTCTCACTGCACCTGTGGAGGTCACGCCGGGGCAGCCAGGGCTATTTCTCCATGAGAAAGATCAAGGTGCCGGGACAGACAGAGGGGGCGGGTGCCCTGAGAGTGCACGGTTGGCTGACACTGGCCCAGGGGCACTGCCAGTTCTTTCTCGGATGCGTGAGGAATGAGGCTGTGACGCCCCGCTCCTTTGACCCCGCAGCATGTGAAGAACAGCAGACACACCAACAAGTATGAAGGCTGGCCCGAGGCACTGGAGATGGAAGGCTGCATCCCAAGGAGAAGCACGGCCAGCTAGCCAGCCAAGCGACGACCAGGCTAAGGAGGCTGCGTGTGCCTGGCCCAGGAGGAGGCAGAAGTGGTGCCAGCGCAGGGCTGAGTCCCGACCCCACACCGGCCAGGAGCGCTCTCTTGTTCAACACATCAGGGCTCCGAGGCCGTGAGCGGTGACCTGTGTGTGACTGGTGGCGGGGACTGCGATGGCCAGTCTCATTGTACTCTGGCAGGGGAGCCCAGGTCCCCATCTCCTTTTCCTAAGGCTGCTTTCCCTAGTCAGCCCCCACCCACTTCCCAAGGCCCTGGGTGCTCGCCCCCTGGCAGCACAGCCACCTGGTTGGGCAACTTCCGGAACCTCTCTGCCCAGAGCCGCTCACTGCTCTGCAGACTAGTCCTGTTTCCCACAGGTTTCCTTCCGGTGAGCCACATCTGGCGGCCCATGGCAGGGACCTACCTGGCTGCCTCCTGCCCCGCTCTCTGTAGGAAGGGGCCGCCTTAGAGCCTGGCTGGCCAGGGCAGTAAGGCAGTGAGCCTGGTCACGGGCCCTGGTGCAGTGGGTGGCAGCTCCTGCAGTTTGTCACAGGACCCGGCTTCTAGATGACCTCTTAATAAATTGGTGCCCCAGTGGAATGTGTGCACTCAACATGGAGTCGGGTGGTGTTGTCCTTGGGAGAGGGATATGACCTAGAGGCCCAGCCAACCTACCCCCACGGCCTTAGCAGACAGCCTTTGTCTCCAGGACTCTGCCATGGACATGTCCTGCTGTCGCTGAGCTGGGACTCAGGTAGCAAGCAGAGCAGCTCGCCAGCTGGTAGCCCGTATCCTTGCCCAAAAGGGACAGTTCTGCTCTCTGGACAGGAAACCCACCAACTCCCTCACACACAGCACAGGCTTGTAGGAACACCTGATGGGGATTAAATCCTGCCCGGGCCTCCCACTACACCCAGCCTCCCTGGGAGCCAGTGTGTGTCCCCCCAGCACTCAGCTTTGGGTGCCTTTGAAATCAGGACTGCAAAAGGCAGAGTCATGTGGACTATTTATCATGTCTCACAGATTAGTTCTATTTCCCTTCATTGAACGAGAACCAGCAAGAAACTAGCAGAAGTTTTGCTGGAATACCACATTGCGGGGGTGGGGGGGTACGCAGGTACTACAGTATGGAGTCAGAAAAGGGAGAGAAGTCACTGCCCTAGCCAGTTTGGCTCAGTGGATAGAGTGTTGCCCAGGAGATGCTGATCACCCAGCCTGGCCCTCTATCAAGCACTGTACATGTATCTTTTTTTTCATAGACTTTTTTTTACTTTTTCTTTGCTAATCCTCACCTGAGGATATTTTTTCTTTTTAGAGATAGTAGAAAGGAGGGACGGAGTCGGGGAGAGAGAGAGAGAAAAAACATTGATGTGAGAGAAACACATCAACTGGTTATCTCCCAACTGGGGCTGGGGATCTAATCTGCAACCTAGGTACGTTCCCTTGACCAGCAACCAAACCCACGACCCTTCAGTCCATGGGCCAACGCTCTAACCACTGGACTAAACAAGCCAGGGCTAGACTTTCCTTTTTAGGGTTTTAGGTTCACAGCAAAGTTGAGCAGAAAGTACAGTGAGCCCTGGCTGGTGTGGCTCAGTGGAAGAGCACTGGCCCAGGCACCAAAGGGTCACGGGTTTGATTCCTGGTCAAGAGCACATACCTTGATTGCAGGTTCGATCCCCAGCCCTGGTTTGGGGTGGTGTGGGAGGAAATCACTGTGTCTCTCTCACATTGATGTTTCTCTCTTCCCCCTCCTTCCCACTCTCTGAAAAGCAATGGAAAAAATATACTCAGGTGAGGATTAACAACAGAAAAAGTACAGAGAGTTCCTACATACATCATCATCACCCGAAGCCCACAGTTGACATTAGGTTCCCTCTTGTGTGGTAGTCTGTGGATTTGACAAATATATAATGATGTGTAGCTACCATTATAGTATCATACATGTATTCATTTTTTTAAATACATTTTATTGATTTTTTACAGAGAGGAGAGGGATAGAGAGTTAGAAACATCAATGAGAAACATTGATCAGCTGCCTCCTGCACACCCCCCATCAGGGATGCGCCCGCAACCAAGGTACATGCCTTGACTGGAATTGAACCTGGGACCCTTCAGTCTGCAGGCTGACGCTCTATCAACTGAGCCAAACTGGTTAGGGCCATGTATTCATTTTTAAACCTTTAATTAGGGAAATTTCCAAAAGTCCCCCAAAGTAGATAGAATACTGTAAATAAACCTCAATATACCCTTTGGGGCTACCACAGTGATAAAATGAAAGGGAACCTCACTGAAGGTCTGTACTGCAAGGCTGGGTGTCTTGGAGGCCCCACCATGCCTCTCGAACAACTGCTGTGACTGCCAACCTTCCCCAAACATTCACCAAATGTCTGCGAGATTGAGCCCCAGTCACAGCTCCTAACTTCTCAGGGGTCTGTGCCCTCCCTGGGGGTCACCAGAGTCACACAGATGGAAGCAGCAGGCCAGCTTTGTCCCCCACTTGGCCTCATGCAGGCTAGAAGCTGATGACAGTGTGGAGTGCAGCTGCCTGCCTTTCCAAAGTGGAGGTCAAACTTTATCCTGCAGTCCTCCTCTGCCAAGATGTCCCCCACCCCACCCAGAGCCCTCCCCTTTAGGCGTTACAACATCCTCGGTTACAAGTACCAGAATCCCAACTCAAACTGGCATAAGCAAAAAATAAGTAATGAGCCTGGCTAGCATGGCTCAGTGGTTAAGCATCAACCCATGAACCAGGAGGTCACGATTCGATTCCCAGGACACATGACTGGGTTGCAGGCTCCATCGCCAGTGGAGCACGTGCAGGAGGGGGCCGATCGATGTTTCTATCTATATCACTCTCCCTTCCTCTCTTTCTAAAATCAATAAAAACATATTTTAAAAAAATAAGTAAATAGCCCTGGCTGGGTACTGACTTCTGCACATGGGCCACGAAGTTTCAATCGCACTGCACGTGCGTGCACGCACGTGGTATTTTGTGGAAGAGCCACAATCAAGGGGCCAAAGAGCCAAATGTGGCTTGCAAGCTGCAGTTTGCCGACCACTGGGTTAGAGCATCATCCTGATATGCCAAAGTTGCAGGTTCAATCCCCAGTCAGCACACATGAGAATCAACCAATCCTATATAATAAAAGGCCATTATGTAAATCGACCGAATGGTGGGACGACTGGTTGCTATGATGCACAATGACCACCATGGGGCAGATGGTCAAAGCAGGAGCTGTCCCCTGGTGGTCAGTGTGCTCCCACAGGGGGAGTACCACTCAGCCAGAAGCCCTGAGCCAGGCTCACAGCTGGCAAGCACAGCAGCCATGGTGGGAGCCTCTCCCGCCTCTGCAGCAGCACTAAGGATGTCCAACTGCTGGCTTAGGTCCGCTCCCTGTCAGTTGGACATCCCCCAAGGGCTCCTGGACTGCGAGAGGGCGCAGGCCAGTCTGAGGGACGCCCCCTCCACCAGTACACGAATTTCATGCACCGAGCCTCTAGTAAATACATAAATAAGTGGAACAACAAATATCTCTATCTCTCAATCAATAAAAAAAATTTTTTAAAGTAATAGCAGGAGGAGGACTTATTATTCCTGTAATGGACCCCAAAGCCCACAGGTGATACCAGCTCTAATAAAGTCACCAGGCCCTGGCAGGTTTGGCTCAGTGGATAGAGCATCTGCCTGAGGACTGAAGGGTCCCGGGTTTGATTCCAGTCAAGGGGACATGTCTGGGTTGCAGGCTGGATCAACCACTAGGGGGCGTGCAGGAGGTGGCTGATCCATGATTCTCATCAACGATGTTTCTATCTCCCTCTCCCTTCCTCTCTGAAATCAATAAAAATAAAAAATACATATTTTTTAAAAGTCACCAGGACATGGGCTCTCTCCATCTCTTGGCTTTGCTTTTCTCTGTATTTTATTCCTTTTCACACATGTGTTTCCCCCAGGTAGGGGGAGGCAACCCCAGCCAAAAAAGAGCTCTCACCTTCCCAATAGTTCCTCTCTTTGTCCCTGGAGACTGACTCTCATTGGTCCAGACTGGGATATGGGCTTACCTTGCATCAGTCTGTGTGGCTCTGTTTGGCTATACCTGGGCATATGCCTACCCCAGAGGTCAATGTTGGGGTCATCCACATGCAAGCCTTGTGTACTGAGAGTAAAGGAGAGATGGTTCCCCCAAAGGAAATTGAGGTACTGTGACCTGATGCTAGGTAGGCACTACACTTCCCTGTAAAGATCAAATACATCCAGCCCAGCCAGTGTGGCTCAGTGGTTGAGCATCAACCTATGAACCAGATCATGTTTTGATTCCCAATCATGGCACATGCCCAGGTTGCGGGCTCAATCCCCAGTATGGGGTGTGCAGGAGGCGGCTGATCAATGATTCTCTCTCATCATTGATGTTTCTATCTCTTCCTCTCTTCTCTCTGAAATCAATAACAATATATTTTTTAAAAAAGATCAAATACATCCCCTCCTTGTGCTTGTATAGAACATGACTTCCATGCATCCTTATTTATCTCAGAGCAGCAGAAGGTAGGAACTGCTCTCAGGATCACCACTGTGACCCTATTAATAAGGTGGCAGGTCTCCCATCTGAGGTGCATTTGTATTGGTTCAGCTGTTATAATTTGTTCTGTCTGTTCTCAGTCTAGATGACTTCTCTTTTGAAACTAGATTATCTTGACTGATCTGTAGAGCTTCCTCCTCTTCTGGAGTAAATTATTAATCCGTTAAAGTAACTGCAAACATTACCTTGCCTTTAATTTGGCCCCACCTTTTTCCTGCAGAGAAAGCCTCCAAATTGCCTCCTGTGAGACACCCCAGCAGCCCACTCTGGCTTTTCAGGGAAGGCTGACATCAATGACGATAATGGGGAGCAACCTTCTGACTGCATTTGCTCTCCTTGGCCCCTGGCACCAATTCCCATTCAGTTGGAATATAAAAACACAGGTTTCACCCGGCTGCTGGGGCTCAGTGACTGAGCGTCCATCCATGAACCAGGAGGTCACGGTTTGATTCTGGGTCAGGGCACATGCCTGTGTTGTGAGCTCAGTCCCCAGTAGGGGACATGCAGGAGGCAGCCAATCAATGATTCTTTCTCATCATTAATGTTTCTATCTCTCCCTCTCCCTTCCTCTCTGAAATCAATAATAATAAAAATAAAAAAACACAGGTTTTGCCCTGGTTCATGGCTCAGTTGGTTGGAGTGTCATCCCATACACCAACAGGTTGTGGGTTCGATTCCTGGTCAGGACACATACCTAGATTGGGAGTTCAATCCCTTGTCAGGGTTCTTATGGGAGGCAACTGATCAGTGTTTCTCTCTCACATCAATGTTTCTCTCTCTCCCTCTCTCTCACAAAATCAATAAACATATCCTCGGGCAAGGAAAAAAACACACACAAAAATAAACCAAAAACCGCAGGTTTCCTCCAGGAAGCACACATCTCTTACCCTGCTCTTGCACTGGACCCATTCCCCTTATCCCTCTGGCCAGCTTTACCCGGTCCTCAGACAGCCCGACCCGCACCACACTTTTGCAAGCTGCAGTCCTCAATGCCGCATGTGCCAAGCCAAGCCCTTTCACGTG